GTGTATCTACGTTCCCGTATAGGAAGCCAGTGTAACTGCTTCCTAAAACGAGAAACGTGGTAGAACTTGCGTAAACTAAAGATGAAGCGAATGCCGTTGTTTAGAAGACGATTAAGTTTTTGGAGGTGTTCTTCCGACAGGTCTAAGTAACAGGAGTCACCGTAGTCAATAATTGGAACCAAGAGGGTAGAAGCAAGCTGGATTTTAGTTTCCATGGGCAAAAAATTTTTTAAACGCATCATGGAATGCATAGTGGCGTAAAACCTACGAGAAACTTCTTTAATATGCTCCCCCCAACTGAGTTTACTATCAATGATAATGCCGAGGTCCTTAACACTACTGCTGAACTCTATTGGTATATTATTATATCGTAGGCTGGGCAGAGTCGGAACATCTAGCTTAGCTAGCTGTCTCCTGCTGCCTATAATGATGGCTTGACACTTGGATGGATTGACAGTGATACCATATTTAGCGGACCAAAGAGAAATGCGGTGGAGATTATCAATCAGGGAGTTAATAGCCGCGGCAAGATCATTGACAGCAGAGTGTTCGTAGAGCTGCAAGTCATCGGCATACAGATGGTAGTGCGAAGTTAAAATTTTAGTGATGGAGTTTATAAAAACAGAAAATAACAGAGGAGATAATGCCACCTTGAGGAACGCCGGCACTCACGTCGCACCAATCAGATTGTAGCTGACCGATGCGTGTGGATTGCCGACGCCCTCGGAGATAAGAAGAAACGGTAGAGAGAGAGAAACGGTTCAACGGTAGAGTCTGACAAGTTAGCATGGGAAAGAAATGCAAGAAGGAGATCATGGTCTACTGCATTGAAAGCATTGCTAAAGTCGATTAGCACGAGCACTGTGAGTTGCTGGTTCTCCATGGCAATACGAATATCGTCCGTGACCTTTAACAATGCTGTTGTTGTGCTGTGACCTGGGCGAAAGCCCGATTGGAGTGGATTGAATAAGTCGCATTTATGAAGGTAGCAGGAGATTTTTTGGTGTGCAATGGACTCCAGGATTTTGGATAGAAAGGGGAGAATTGTTATAGGACGAAAATGAGAGGGTAGCGAAGGATTTGATATTTTAGGGAGTGGGAGAACAAAAGCCTAGGGCCACATCTCAGGAAATGTACTCGTGGTAAAGGAGAAGTTTACGATGTGAGTTATGGGGGGAATTAGAAAGTTGAGGATAAGGGTAATCATAACTCGACTTATTCCATCACAACCAACCGCCTTGGATTTGATCGAAAGAATGGTTTTCTTCACATCATTCTCCGTAATAGGAGAAAATTGAAAAGGTGGAGAAGTGATTCTAGGCAAGCCATGTATTTCAGAAAGCGTTGAAAGTTTAGTTTGCAAGTCGAGGACTGGAGGTGAAGAGAAGTGAAGATTGAGATCGTTTAAATCAAATTGAGATTGATCAGGGAAAGTTTGAGACTTGCCGATACCGAGGGTATTTAAAAATTTTAAAGCTTCCTCGGGAAAAGATTCACGTATTTTGTCAAAGAAATATCGGCGTTTGAGCTTCCTACACAACTGATTGCAGCGGTTCCTTGCAGCTTTATAAGCTGACCAGTTGAGAGCAGAACGGTCCCTCTTGTACTTACGGAAGGCTTTATCCCTCTTGGCTCTCGCTTTTCTTAAATCGTCATTAAACCAAAGGTTTGAAGAATTTTTTATTTTAACAAGGCGTAGATGCGAGTGTCGGTCAAATAATTCAATTAGTTTAGAGCAGAGAAAATGCAACTTTTCGTCAATTGACGCCAACACCTCTATCTGCGACCAAGGAATAAGAGTAGCATCGTCCAATAACCTATCGAGATCCAGACAACGGTAGCTTCGCAGCAACAGCATCTTGGGTTTGGGCTTAGGTGATCTGAATTTAAAGATAGCAAATATTAGATCGTGGTGAGAGAATTCCGGCGCTGAAAACTGACCAAATTTAGAGACCAAGTCACCTTTAGACGTTATAATTAGGTCTAAGAGACTATAGAGACCGTCGATTGGGTGGTGTGTTGCAGCGAGCGGTAAAACCTGAAGGTTAAAGGAGTCTAGTATAAATGTGAGCTTTGAAGACCGATAATTACTCTTGATCAGACAGGTGTTGATATCCCCCATTACAATAAGATTAGTGTACTTAGGCATCATATTCTCGAAGAGGGACTCAAGAGAAGAAAAATAATTGATATTGGGGGTACAATAGACCACTCCAAGGGCTATCTTGGTGCCCACATCTATCTCGATGAATAAATATTCAGAAGATGCGATATACTGGGAAGTTGATTGACAAATAAGTTTGTAAGGGATGTGACATTTTAAATATATTGCAACACCCCCACCAGTTTTTCCGATTCGATCATTCCTGATTAAGATGTAATTAGGTATAGAAAAAGAAGTAGAATGAAGAGAAGGTTTTAACCAGGTCTCGGAAATAAGAACAGCGTGAATGGATGCCTGGTTAAATGTAGAATAGAGATCGGAAAAATGACTTGGAATACTTTGCGCATTGATGTGACAAATGTTTAAATTCTTACGAAAATGTGAGAGTTCATTAGACAGCAAATCTCCTAGTAACTGAAAATTATCATCAGTACTTAGAAAAGAGATGTCGTCATCACCATCTCTTGCAGAATAAAATGATTCAAAGCTTGAATCCATAATGCATATACAAAATTATAATATACCAAATAAAATAAATACTTATACAATAATATATGTATTTATATATAACAAATTTTTAAATGTAATTATATGAAAACAAAGAAATTAAAAAAAACTAAAATAAATCAAGTAAATTGACTAGACTAACCATACACATTCTGTTGGCTCACAACAATTCACTTAAAATACGTAACTAATAAGAAATACTAAAATACATAAGAAAAAAAAATACAATGCATGTTAAGGTCTACAAACTATGTATCTAAGTGATTACAAAAAAGTTTGCTTGTCCCAAAAAAAAACACAAAAGTTAAAATGTATTAATAATAATAATAGTTGATTTATAATGATAAAAAGAAACATATGTAAAAAATTGTAATCATTTCGTATTAAAGGTAAAAGTAGATATTAAAAAGAAAAAAAAATCCATCATGCACATAAAGGTTAACCCTTATTCAAATATTGGGAAATTATTTCCCACTTGACAGTACCGTAATATTTCTTTATTATTTCTTTACTGGTAACTCTAATCAGTACCAATCCAGGAACAAAATAATTTTACACATTTTTTAAATATTTTACTTGGCAACATTTTGGACAAAATTGCGTAATGTCATCGTATGTCAATGTCAAAGTCACAATTTGAATTTTTTGGTGCACAAAACCGGTTCTCGCGGGACTTTCGAAAATTTTTGTAGAAAAAAATCTGGTAAGTACATAAACAATATATTGATGTAAACTAGACTTATTTTCTGAATGCTTTTTACGGTTTCTGTGCTTTTTGCACTGATATTTCTTGGATTTTATTAGGTTTAATTAGGTGGGAAATAATTTCCCAATGTTCGTTCCTGCTTTGATAAACATCAGTGTCTTTATATATATATAAAATTGTTTGTCAGCTGTAATAATAACGGTATAGGAACTTGTAATACGATAGTATTTGAAAAGTTCTTAATAAAATATTATTTGTAACATTCTAGTTTCATTTTATTTTTATAATTTTATTCAATCACTCAATCATGTTATATTGAATTTTTTATATAAAAAAAATAAACAAGTAAAGTAGGAGTAAGTAATATGTATAGAATTTGTAGTAAAAATGTCCCAAAAAAATGTAACCATTCCGGATGATGGGAAATAATTTCCCACTTACTTATATTTTGCTTTTCCATACTGGATAATGGGATATAATTTCCCACCGTAAAACCCCCATTTCCCCTCTTTTTATAAAAAAAATGATGTTTTTTTCGAAATCTACAAAGCCCTTTTACCTAGTAACCATGTTTAATTCATAATTTTATTTAAAAAAAAATCCATTTGATTAAGGATTAATATACAATCGTTTACCATAATGACATGACTTTATAAAAAAAAGTGATTTTATCCATTTAATTGTAGCTAACGAATACAGATTGAGAGACATGTATCTAATATAAAATAATAAAAAATGTAGAAAGAAACACTTCTAATAAAATTTGTTATCGATATCTATAGAGTGAGTGCGGCATATTTGGAATACATGTTGCAAGTTACGAATTATTCCACATTACCTGCAGCGTCTCAAATATGCCGACCTTCCTCCATCCATTAGACTTGAAAAAAAAAAAAGTGTGCCAAAATACAATCATCCAAGTCACTAGCAATTGACTGTTGGCACGACACTATAATAATTATAATAGACTTCAAAACTCGCCTCAGGTGTCAACTTGTCAAGTGTCAACAGTATGGAATTGATAAACAAATATACCCGGGATTAACATGCGACTTGGATAAAGTATAATAATATTGTAATTGCTACAAGGACACTAATAATTAAAAGAAAAGAAAATATAGAATCACAGTTACCCACAAGAAATGACCATTGTGGAACGATATAAACATCACTGTGATGTTAAAAAACAGTTAAGTGTAAATGAACTGTAACTTAAGATAACCATTGTGTTGATTTTAAATAAATTTCACACATATTCATATTAAAAGCAAATAAAACGAACTATCATCGAAAGAATAGAGGGACTTCAACATGTACTCTGAGATGATTATAAATTAAGTGAAAGTATAACCAAAACAAGATATACAATACATGGGATAACAGCATACTATTGCTTCTTGACCAAATTTCGTCGCGTAAGTGGCTTTTTGCTGGCGTCAGGAAGAGCTGCAGGGCTGACTCGAGGCAGCGCAGAGCTGGCAGGCTTGACAACGGACTGTGATGAGGGCGATGGACTGGGGAACATCTTTAGGCATTCATCGAAATCTTCCTGAGTTGTGATACGCCTGCGTTCGTTATTTGGCAATTTGATATATATGTTACCATTAAGGGTCCAGGTGTTAGTTATGCCAAATCTTTTCCTTGCTTTTGTGTTTTTTCACTCAGCACAACTGGAGACGACTTCAATTTCTTTTTATTACTCCAAATGAGACTTTTAACTTTTAAGTCATTAAATCGGACAACAATGGGTTGAGGAGCCCTCTCAGACTTACTTCCTATACGATGGCAGTACTGGATCACACCTGGCTGAAGATCAGGGATGCCCATCAACACTTGAATTGTTCCAAGGACCGTTGAGACCAAGTTCTCACCTTCAGCCTCCTGAATACCACCGAACAGCAGAGCATTTCTTCTAGAAGTGTTGTCGATGTCATCAATTTGTGAAGATAAATTAGTGACAAGTGTCCTTAGGAGGTCCAGGATGTTCCACACTGAGGCCTTAAACTCTTTAAACTCACTTGCAAGTTTATCAAGACTGTTCCTATTACCTTCAGTGCTACTTGTGAATTTCAGTTGTTTTTCGAATTCTGCCATCCTATTACCAAGCGATTCTGCTATGTTTTTATGAACTTCCAGTATATCTTCCACTCTTGCCATTGTATTTAAGTATAAATAAAGTTTTATTTGTGATGTGTCAAAAATTCCTTGGGAGAGTTTGTAGAACCAACAGGTAAGTGTAATTATTATGCAATTAAAGACATAAGAACCACAATAACTTATGTAAAGTAGCCTATATATGTCACTTATGTAAAATATTACTTTTTTAAACTGTTAAAATAGATTTTAAACAAAAAAATAAAGAAAATTTTGGAGAGTGATTTTTAATCGTGTGCACTTTTTGACACCTACCGCCAAAAAAAAAAAAAACATTCAATACATCAAATACCTACGCACGTGTCCATTGACCTCCTAGATCAGCTGATTTGACGCGACTCGACTTTTTTTTGTGGGGGCGAATTAAATCGCTAGTTTATAACACAGAGATAACAAGTGCCGAGGAACTAAAAAATAAGATAATAACCGCCTTTGTAAAAGTGAAAAGTGACATTGCAGTATTATCTAAAATAAAACCACAATTGCGAAAACGGTCATTACAGTGCATTGAAAAAGGCGGTGGACATTTTGAAAATGTTTTAAAACGACAACGCCGTGCGAGTGCAAATTAAACTGTTAGTTTGTTTATGATCTTTAAATTATTGTAAATATTTTGATACACACCATTTAAACGGGCCGACTGTGTTTGACTTTGTCGTAGGTTTTGTGGTGTCTAATCAAATCACGCGTTATCAGTTGTTTAATAATTCTTATTTACAAATTTAATTTAACAAATCAGTAATTATAAAATATTGGCTTCACATTAAAAACAAAATTCAATGTCAACAATCTAAAGCTTGAAAAGTGTGATGGAAAGAAAAATCATAATGTATGTAGTTATTTCGTGTACTTATTATTACCTACTTCTTTAATTATTGTGGGACGGCACTCGGAGAGAGGGGCGCGGGCGCGGCGAGTACATGAATAGCTGACCATATTATTTGCACGAAATTGGGATAACTAATTTCACAAATAAAAAATGCAAACGCACATATAAATAATATTTGGTGTATGCATTGCGTTTATATTATTATATTCGCATTGGGGTATTTGAGGGTGTGCGTTAATTACGTTACACGTTGTATATACGTACCTTCAACGAGTTTCTTATAGTCGAATGTAATGCCGGCCGCTTTGCAGAACTTCTTCATATCAGTTATGCCAGGCTGGCGTAGTTCCGGCGGGACCGGCGGCCTGTCCTGGCGACCACACCCGCTCCCGAGAGTGCGGGGTGACGCGTTCTTGGAACCTTTCGGCTGACTTGGACCGGGCTTGGATGACATATCCTGGGAATAAACACTATGCATGAACGATCTGATACTATCACTATAATTTGTTAATTAATCTATTATAACTGTTTTGTATTATTATATTTTTACTACAGTCTACGGTTAATATATGATTATGTATTTTCGATATATGTATAGAAGAATTTCATATATTATCCAAAATTTCTCACATTATACAGGGTGACTGGTGAATTACTATCAATATTTAAGGAGCATACTCGGTACATGATTCTCATTCGAATTATGTAAAAAAAATAGGTACTTAATTTTTGACAAAATTTCCGTATAAATAAATAAAGTGTTGATACGTTCCAAGTGTTCCAAGTGTGGACGCGTACGGCGGCGTGCTGATACAAAACCACGCCCCCGTTGCGTATGTGTGAGTGTGTGTGTGTACCTAATCTGTAGGGTGTTCACACGATGCGTAATTAATTACATAACTTTTGGTTAACTTTACTTAGAAGTTTATTAATATTTATGTTATATTAATTTTTATTTTGTCATATATGATCGTCAACTACCACGTCCTCAAATATCGATAGTAATTCACCAGTCACCCTGTATATACATATATAGTTAATTATATGTCATTTGCATGACTATATCAACATAATATCATTAATTTCATAGTATCAAATATAATTCAAGTCAGATATATACTGTAAACTTAACAAATATATTTTAACAAATGGGAATCTTACCGGGAAATACATATGTACCGTTTGATCGTTACACTGAACAGACTTAAATTTAGAAAGACATTAGGTAACTAGAGATTTCTGAAAAAATCACACCTACCCTCAACTAGGGAAGTAACTCTCATTGGGGGATCGCAACCGGTACTCTCAAAATATACGATGAAACACAAATAATTATTATAAAAAATCTTTATGTATACAACGTTTGAAATTTTTTTGCAAGTTTTTATTTTATATAGAAAAATGTCTCTTAGTTATGCGTTATTTCATTTCATTTTTGTTACAAGTGAGATTTCGAACTGAATATTCATAAATGTTTTGTTATATGTGTAATTCTCATGTAAGTGATAATAATGTCTTAGTGGGAATAAATATCTGAAATATTTCATAAATCAAAATGTTTTAAACAAATAAGTATTTAAAAAATTGGCATTTTTTAAAAAATTCGACACAATATTTATATTATTCTTTTCTATAACAATGGCAACAACAACCCATACGTCATTTTTGTTTGCTTATAATATTTAATTAGAATATGGAATGTGTAAGAAAAAAGAGCGCGGGAATTGAAACGTTGACGAAGGCTTTTTGAAAATTTTAATTATTTTATATAGTTTTACACTATAATTTGCAAATTTTTGTTTAATTTATTGTAAAGAAGTAAAACTTAGTCTGTATATAAGTGTTTATGTGGAGAGATGGTGAAAAAACGTAAAAAGAAGGATTCGGGTGAGTCCTTGAATTTCAATTTTCAGCACAAGCAGCGATTCCGATTGCGAGGATTCGCCAGTATTGCAGGATGCAAATGCCTTCGCTCCCTTTAGGGTCGCTGATTATTGTCGGCGATACCCTGAAGATGCGGAAGCCAAGTCTGAATTCATAGTATTTGTCGAAAGTACTAATGATGTCCCACCCGGTAATAGGGACATGATGTCGCTTAGTACTAGTTTTATACGCTCTGTGAAAGGTATACAATATTTAAAAAAAAAAAAAATATAAGGTCGGTGTTGTTTCCCAACTTGCGAATTTGGCAAATGCCTTTTTAGAGAATACTACATATCTAAAGGAACAACGACTTAAATCTTCAATACCAGCAGGGGCCACCGAACTATCGGGAGTTATCTCCTCGGTTCCCACTCATCTATCTAATCACAAAATATATAAAGCAATATCAACAACAAAAAAAGTCATTTCTGTCCGACACATAATGCGTAAAGTAAAAGGAGAAAATAACACCTTCACACTGTAACCTACTCGAATCAAAAAGGTGAGTACTCTTGTCATTTTAATATCAATTTGTATTGTTAAAATGAAAATATATTATTATTATTGTGTTTTTAGTTTTGACATTGAAAAATGCGTGGGTTAAACTAGTTTTATATTGTTACAAGTAATTATCTTTTGTTTTACGAGTTTATTATTTAACAGTATCAGATTTATATATTATTATAATATAGCTGTTCTCATAGAGGTAGATAAAAATCCTTGGATTTACATATAATTACAATGTAATTAAAGTTATGATAAACTTCCGCATTTGTATATTTATATAAATGCTCAAAGACGAATACATAAAATATATTTTTATTCCGCACATAAGCTATGCAATAAAAAGTTGTGGATCTTTTTATATTATTTAAAAAAAAATTGTCTTTTTAATGTCCTGCAAAATGTTATTGATATAAAAACAAAAAAATCCTAGAAAATATTTATTGTAATGATCATAAATACATGGTCGAACAGAAAAACATACTAAACTTCTTTTACAATTAATTAGTAGTATACTGCTACCTATATTAATTGTAAAGAGTATTAGAAATTTTAGAAAAATATCTGTGTGTTGGTCCTTCACACTGTTGGTGAAAAAATAGATTCCAGTTTGGTGTAAACTATCCGGAGCCATAATCTACAAAAAATTGGTGGTTAATTCAGCTTTTAACATAATTGTTAACAAAGATGTTGGATATGTAATAATAACTATTCCGTATATATACATATTTCAATATTTATATATTCTTTATTTATTTTTATAACATAATGAAAATGCTACAACTGCTAATGAATTTTATATTTTTTTGTAAACAGTGGATTATTTTAGAAGGAAAATATATGAATATGTTTAATAGGGAGGAAAACCTAAACATTTTCTTACTGATACTTGTAAATAAGTTTTTTTTCTAAGAATGGACATTATGACTTTAAAAGAACTGTTTTATATGTCTATGTATGAATATTTATATGATAAACATATAGTACAAGTAGTTGTACATTGACATGTTGATAAAAAAGAGACAAAACTTCTGAGCATTCTAAGTGTTCACCATATGTGTGCCGGGTCTATTCTGTTACAGAGAAATATTCTATTTAAGTATAATTTAGTAATCATAGTTTATACATAGACTGAGTAATTGATAAACGGTTTGGGATTCAATAAAACATTCTTATCTTTCAGAAATCCTGATATGTGGAGGCTGTTTAAATGATATCAGCGATGAAGACTATATATCGGCGCTAAGCCAAGATTGGCACAGGGACTGCTTTCGGTATGTCAATAACCATTAAATGTGACCTACATGATTTGTTATACTTTGCCAGGAATGGGGATAACGACATTGGCCATGCTCAAAGACGCCGTTGATGTGTACAAAACAGATATATGAATAAAAAGATTTGGCAAGAGACTCGTTTCTCTCGATTCCATATCTGTATAAGATATAATAGAATAACTGACATCCAATCAATGTTGAAGTTTTAGATTATTTTAGAATTTTATTAAGTTACATTTCATTATGTCAAATTACCTTAAGTTACGTTACATTACAGACATTGTTTGTTTACATGAACTAAAATAGGATTCTATCTAATGACACAAGAAAAGTATATTATACATTCACTCAAGGTTTAAACATTCTCCTTAAAACATTTATGGTTTAACATATCAGAGACAGAAATAATTAATGTTATAAAAATAAGTTAGAATTGATATAAATAATACATAAATACATATGTCAAGTTGATTAAAAATATTTATCCATTATTATTTCACATCCTAAGTACTATATTTACCTACTTCTTTTTGTCTTTTCACAACCATGTTTTTTAACCAGTCTTTTCCATCAAAACATAATAATTTTTTTAATTTATATAGTAACCTTGCAGCAATTATTTGTATTTTATTTGTTTGCATCAATTTTTATAATCAAATTCTAATTCAGATTGTCTTTTACTTCTATCCTATCCATATTATATATACATAGTTAAAATATAAAATTCTTTGGAAAATTAACAGTACTTTTTATTCTTAGATAACTACAGTAATGGCTTTTTTTTTTGGAATTTAAACATTGTTTAATACATTTGAATTATGGATGAAGATACAGGGTGTGAACACTATATTTCGATTCATACATGGTATAGCAAAGCACCTTTTATATATATATTTTTTTATTTTAATAGATATTTTCTAAACCTCAAGGGTGACATTGTAAAGCTATGTGTATATTCATTTCTAATTCATTGTTTCTAGGTGCTCAGTATGTGACGCTCAGTTGACGACGTGGTTCTTTGAGAAGGGCGGTTTGCTATTCTGCCGCGAGGACTACTGGACCAGATTCGGGGACGTCTGTCATAGATGTGGACAGGTATTGTATTATGGGATTATTTGCACTCGGTTCTATTGTAAAATTAACATTTAAATCGTGCTTGCGACTGAATCTAATCTTATATTCTTATTGAGAAAATCTACAAGTAGTATGGCATTAAAAAAACTTTATTATTTCGCTACCCCCTAATGAAGAAACACCGCTTAGGAGCACACCTGGATGTTACTAATATTTTCTTTTATCTTAATTTGGTTAATAATTGCCGCTAATACAATAGCTAAACCATAAAACACACACTTGACCGCTATCTAATGAGATAGTGACTAACAATAGGGGTGCCTAATACTTTTGCACGCAGCTGTATATAATAAATACAACGAAAACTGATATAAACAATAGATAATTTATAGTTATAAACGCTTATAACCACTCTAAAGTTTGCGAAAGTGAATCCATTTGTTTGCTGAACACTTATAGATTATAAAATAATTCTTCTATCAGCGTTAGTTTTTAGACGTCTTATTCTTATTTTATTATACATATAATTATAACGTAGAATGGCGAAAAAACTCTATTTTTTGTACGTTATGTCGACTTTTTGCGAATAAGCTAAGCAGTAAAAGAACAAATAAATGTTCAGTCATGAGGTCTTTTTTTTTTTTAACGAGGCGAATCTTTCAAAGACTTCCCGCCGCGGGGGAAAACACGACGGGGGCGTGTGGGATTTCCACCCACTAAACTCCTCGGCGTTCTCTGCGCTGTGCGTAGACTAGTGAGCGGGAACGGCAAGCCATACTTCCGCTCACTACGCACGAGTCCCGAAAGGGACTCCGCCATCGGCAGGGGCATCAGTGGCTGACCACACCACCCCTCCGACTCAAGAGCAGCGTGCCGGGAACGCCAAACACGCCGCTCTTCCTCTAGCCTATGTTACCCGGACGCCGGTTCCCCACCGACGCCCGGAGGCTTCCTCACTGGGGAGGCAGGTCGCGAGCATAAGCCCGCTGCCTTCGACCCAGCCTTCGTCGGCGCAGCGGCGCCGAGGAGGGGTCGTCTTCCCTCACTCGTTCAGCAGCCTCCTTCTGCAAGATGACTCTCTCGCTGAAGTCGGCCACCGCCTGCCATGCCCTCTCGCTGCCGACCATGGCCTGGACCACTGCCGGCAACGAAAGGTCTGCGCCAACCACGCGGATGAGTTGGCTCCGCTCGGATCAGTCATGAGGTCTTAACATAAGCTTTGCCAAACACGCACAACCACTTCTAAAACCAAGAAGTTATGGCTCAAGATATATGCATGAAAACATTTGTACTGTCTTTTTTTTAGTTTAACGAAACTAATTCCAAGGTTCTGGAGATTTTAACATATATGCTAAAGTTTTTACCTATATATATTACTATGAGAAACTCAGTTACGGTAAACTATTGAACGGATATTTGCATTACGACAAAACGTTGGATTTATTGAGAAATTGAGCTGAGCGTTAAAAGACAAGTTTTCATTTTTAATTAAGTTATATTAAAATTGCGAAAGTTTATGTCGGTTTGTGGAGTGCAAAACTATTGAAGCGATTTGAATAATATTTTTTGTTTGATTTATTAAATTAATAAGCCTCCTGTGATATCGTGTGTCTACGTCTACGTATCTTCATAATAAGCAGTTTGATTCTAAGTGATAAAATTATTGACCCTCAATCAAAAGAGATTTTAAATTGTAATGGAGTTCAGACCGTGTATGTATTCCAAAGACTTATGCAAGAAACTGATTTAAAAAAATTAAAATAATATACATACAATATTAATATAAAATATTTATTTACAAGACTCAAAAAGTTGCTACTAAATTCTCTGCGTTACATTGTTCCTTAACTCACGTACGTTGTAACACGATTAGCACTAAACGACCGGTCAAGTCATGTTCGTCATCAAAATCATATTGCCCAATTCTAATGATGTTTATTTTGTCACATTTAAATTATCACACAATTTCATCATTAACAAACTGACAATGAAAATAAGAATCGTGCAAGTACATTTCATAACATGAATCAAATATGTACATATTTTTAATGATGATTATATTTTATATTTTCAAGAGATAAATATATATTTATTAATAATTATATATTGAAGGTTGTGTATGGATCTTCAATGGCAGCGGGCGAGCTGAGGTATCATTCCGAGTGCTTCGCCTGCGCCGCCTGTGGAGTTTTGTTGGGTGAAACTGAACGGTACGCCCTCGTTGACCGAGATACTCTATACTGGTAAGATAGTAAATATATTATATACTTCAATGATACATCCATACAATAATAAAAGCAAAACTGTAATTGTTCCATCAATAATAACGCATTTTCTGACCAAACTTATAAGACAACTTTAAGCAACATAACTGTATGTTAATTATTAACTAACATAAAAAAATAATATTAAACGATAGTCATGTGATTTGATTGTTTAAATTTAAATAATAAATTAGAAATCTCAAACCACCTACTTTTACTATTTGTATTACCGCCGTACTATAAATTGAGCTATCGTGTCAATGAGCGTTGTGTAATTTATATTATTGTATTTCAGCCAGTGGCGGCGTAAGGCGTGGGCGACGTGGGCCATCGCCTACGGCCTCGCGGTACAAGGGGCCTCGCGCCTTAAAAATTTTAGAGAATTAAAAAAAAATATCTTCTTCTTCTTCCTAGGAATTTCCCAGCTATAGCCAGGGTCTGCCTTACGTGTTGTGATTAGTTTTGGCTATTTGTTTTTACGACCGGTCGTCTACTTGACATCAAGTCATCCCTCTTTGGGAATCAGAATTAATTAAACCTATTTTGATAAGAATAGTGTGTTCAATGTTTTAATAATATTTAGCGAATAAATAGATAGTGTTTAAGCATATTGATTTCCCCCGAACAGTGACGTTTTTTAATTTTTTTTTGTTTTCTTTGTGATTTGTAATTACACCAGTACCTGTACTCGTCTATTTTACATAAAGTAACAAATATTTAATTGGTGATAAGTACGCAGTAATTACTTGTTTATAAAATAGGCTTTATAATATCTTTTGAAGCAAACCAAAGCTTTAAGTGTAAAAAAAGCATCTACCTACGTTTAAGTTTTTAAAACTATCTGGTAGTAAGAGCTTCAGGTTTCCATAGAATAGGGCCTCGCGAAATCTGTCTTGCCCACATCAAATTTAGGTCTTGCCCCGCCACTTAATAACTGTAAACTTGTTTATCATATCATAATACAATCTAATACTATCCAAAATTCTAATATTATGATTTAAATAACACTTGGTATTCAGACGTCTATGTCCTTGGTGTATGCTTTAACTTTTTTAATCAAACCATTAACAATCGGAACGTTTAGAAATTAAAACAACAAATAAAGAAAAAATATATAGGTAATAAAATGACAGACATTAGGTACACATTATATTCGTATATTTAACACGAAACTTTACAAATAGTGCCACAATAAAGCAACGTACACTTAAAAAGGATTATACCGGAATTTCACCCGGACTTAATATTGTAGGCCTTCAGTACAGTTCAATATCAGACTTAATACCAATGTTCCCAACACACTGCCCTTACAAAGCGACTGATGTGTCACGTTTAAAGAGCCCAACAGTGAGATCGCATTAACGCGACGGCCAAATTATTTTACAGCAATTCAGTTATAAAATTTTTCGGTCCCTTTTAAATCCTACTACATATCTATATCGTGTCTGTTTCCTTTCCGTCGCTCGCCATTTTAAAGTTATTAAATAAATTGTAGCTTTTTAGGTTAACCTTATAAATAAAATAGATTATATTTCCCCGATATCTTTTAAAGTCAAAAATATTACCTGTACCATAACAAAGAAATTATTGTATTTACAATCAGAACTATACTATGTTAGTGATGAATACATTATTGTTAGTTTAAAATAAACCTTATGCTTTACTAAATAAACTTAGAACAAATACGCATTGGTATAAATGTCATAAAGATTGACATATGTTATTTCAAAATGGCGGTATTTCTTGTATACACCACTGTACCTTACATTTATATGAACTTTTTTATATACCGAAAGTCTAGGAACGGGCACAATTCGGACAAATATATTTTATATTTTTTTATGGAGCAGAAATGACACACAAAACATTTAAATTTTTTTTGGCATTTGATAAACACATAGGTGGTACATTGAATTGGTGATATTGTAATAAAAATTACTAATTGTGCATGACATGTCCCGAGCCTTGCACTTCATACGTAAAAATTTTTCAATCCAGGTCATCTATCGGATTTGCCGGCGTTGTGCAAGTGGTTGGGTGCGTCGGCGAACGCGAACTTGAGCCTGTAGGCTTCAGCTACCAATAAACTTATATTGGAATCCGACCAGTTCTGGGTCGGAACATTTTGCAATAGGATCATGAGTCCTTGGAAGTCTTTTTCCAACATCAGTCGTTCCCTCCAATGCAGTAGAAAGGCGGCGCAGACATAAAGCTGAAATGTCGCAAATCCATCTGATTCAGCCAAATAGGTGTCCCATAGTCGAATGGTGCAAGGCAAAGGTATTTCACGTGTCAGAAGATTGTTCATCCAGCGGAAGGAAAATTGTAGGTAATCTACGCCATGTCTTTGTAGATGTTCGTGTAGTTGCAGGTCGATGCGGCGGATCAGCTCCTTGAGTTGATTCACCTGGAAATTAGATAAACAATATGTTATTAAGATTAATAGTTGTTTCGATTGGTAAAGTTTGTAAATTACTTTAACTTGGCGGGAAAGTATGTAACACCAATACATATATATGTATAGCTTTAGACATTTTATAATATGTCAGAGTTAAACAAGTTTTTCTTCAATTTAAATTATATAAATTGTTAGTCATAAACTCAGATGTTATACAAAGACTAAAGTGTATTTATCAAAAAGATATTGTTAAAACATTTAAACAATTGATAATAGCTTATCAGCTACAATCAGTACCACAATGTTAAACAATTAAGATATTATGGAATATTATATCAAACTGAATGTAAAGACCCATATACAATGTATAAAATTTTTCCTTAATTCTTGTAAGATATAATCATATATTAGTTATATATGCAAAATCATTTAAATATAAATATTTGTACTCTTTCCCATCAACACCAATGATGGATTTCTGTTTGAATCATATAGTAATATAGCTTAGCTATAATTTAAATATTTATTGTTATATTAAAAATAACAGATATTATTTCATTTATAATGTAGATACGCTAACAATAATAAAGTATGAGTCTAGCCATTTAAAAAAATCTTATGTAGATTTCTTTATAAACCAAGCACCAACCTTGTACTGGATCCCAAGTTGAGCAAAGATGTAATTATCCTGTATACTGTCGAGAAACTTGGACAGGCACCAAAAGGAGTCAGCTTCAATGATGTCACGTTGTTCTTCGGTCAGAGAGTCCAGAGGGAAATTGTCCAGCTCCTTCCCAGGAGCGGCTTCTTGCAGGAATACCATAAAGAACGGAGTCACCAAGTCATTGATGCCTTGCACATACCCTGATGCTGGATGCCGGATTGCCCAGATGTACAGGATGCGCTCGAACATCACCTAAAAAGAATTTGATATTTGTTCTCATTAAACTGACAATATTTGAAGCATTTTGTGATTTCCATTTTAAAAGCCTATGTACATTTTTAAACTATAGCTGTTAATGAAAAAAATTCATACAGTATATGTACTTTCTGAATACTTTTATATCGTCAGAAGGACTGTATTTTATAATTCCATCAATAAATCAATCAATCGAAAAAGAAGAAGGATGATAAAACTTATATATAGCCTAAGGGTTATAACCCTATATAAATATGTATAGCCCAATTAAAACATTTAAATGTATGACTAAATACATGCATTTATTTTTTATTAATACAAGTAATTGTATGTATTTGATTTTACTTCAAAAGTCCATACTTCTTGTTCTCGTTTCAAATCAGATTACGTTAGTCTATATAGTAATAATTTGCAAACGGAGTAATACTATATATAATCGAATAATAATTTATGAATTAACAGATATGTCTGTTATTCCTTAAGTTTGTGTTCATTTGCAGGACGGGGAGATGTCTATGTTTTGTCATTAAAGATTTTATACGAAGTGACTAGACCGTTGCGTTTATATGTCAAAATGGCGCTTTGTTTACTACTGTACAATCTAAGGTCGACGACTCATGTCATAGACACTCCCACATAACTTTCATCAAGGAAGGGATTGGATAGCAGATTATTATGAATACAACAGTCATTGTGCGGATAAGACAGAAATCTTTTCATGTAATCAACTCACTTGTACTGTTATCTGTTGGAACAGAGCCACTAGGGGGCTCATCCTTGGTATGTCTATATGTATCTGTCTGTAGGTGTCTTCCTCCCTGTCAGCGTCATAGTACTGCCTAACGAGGTGCTTGTAGTCAGCCCTCTTACGTTCCAAGGTTTCTGCACGGCGCTCAGCGTTGGCTGGTAGATAGCCGGCCAGCAAGCGCCATGTTACCGCTCTGGCCTTTGATAGAAAAGAAAACAAAAACAGTTACAACATCAACCTTTGTTAAGACAAATTGATTTTTGTATCTTAACTCTTATCAATGTCTTAGAAATTATTAAACTTATCAGGGCAGTTTGTGAGTTTTAAATAATTAAAATAAATAGTGTAACTTCTTATTTAAGTAGTAAAATCACCTTCCTACAGCTTTTACATCTACTGCATATATATTGTCAGACTTATCCGTTTATAACACAATTTTTTTACAAGTGGAGCCATCCATGCCCTACTAATTATAATATATTGTAATCCTTAGAATTATTTTTATGACTGACTATAATTCGTCATAACTATTGTAATTTTGTATCAACTTGTATTTGAAAACTATAACTATGGGTTCAGATATTTTGATGGACATAACTGGAAGTAACATTGAACATTAGAAATCAAGATTGAAACAAACAAAATCAAACATAAAGATAGTATATGATATTATCTTATTTATATAAGATATGTAACATTGCAATCTTTAGACAAACTGTTGTAATACATATATACATAACAGTATATATGTTGTCTTTACATCTTTACATATTCTCGCAATATAGAAAATTGTGAAAGAAATTTTTAACTATGTTTCTATTCTAAAAATAAAAAGATACCTCTATTTTCACTTATAAAAGATTTTTAACCTATCTATATATGAAAGTGATTTAATATTATGTTAAATAATAACAGTTTTTAATGCACTTTGCACTTTTATATGAATAATTAATTGTAGACTACATAGAAACTTATTATTCTCATAATACAATAAGAACTTATAAATAAATTTAAGGTCTTTGTTTTATATAATTCTACTACATTTGAGGTAGCAACAAAAAAGTACATATTTAATTAAAATTTATCAGCTTTTTCCATGTATATATTTTTTAATCTATGTATGGATAGATTAGATTAAAATAGACTATTATAGCTTCCTGCAGATCATTATCTGCAGTACTAATTTGTGTATATTAGAAAGAGTCACTTTATATGCAGGATTTAATAAGAAAATTTTGAATTTTTTTTTTCTGGATTTAAGATAAAAACTAAACAAAGATGTTGAAGCTATTTCAATGTCTTTTATCTGGAGTTTGCAATTATATATTCTTAATTAAATTACAACAAAATGCATAAATACTGTGACATACTTTTTGTCTAAATAATATCATATAATATTGCCGATACACACATGTATTTGGTATAACAGTGTAATCCTATGATACTCATCTAAAGATCTCTAAAGATGTCTTTGACTAAAATCAATAAAATATTACAACATATGATTGTTATTGTTTTACAATGATTTTATTATTGACACCCTAAAACAGCATAACATAAACATAACATGTGGAATAAACCTAACATAAACATAACATGTGGAATTGTAATATTAAAATTTTAAGTATACCACATTAACATAAATATGTCGTCTTTGAAGAGGTAGGTCAAACCATTTTTTTTTATAGTGCAACTTTGATAACAAACCTCTTTAATTATTTTTAATATTATTTTCTTTAATTAACATCATGATTTGCCTCTCAATCCTTAAATTACAGATATGAAATTAAAAAAATTTAAGCCAGCAGCAGTTTAATATTTTTTTATACAAAAACCTTATTTTTCTCTTTGAATTATAAGAAACAAGATGAATGTTTAAACTTTAGGATGTTTGTAAGTGTACCAAAGTAGTATTAAAAAATATTATAGCACTAAGTAGAAAAGTATTATGAAACAAAAGTCCATAATAAATTAGGTAAGTTAAAACTGTAATAGTTTATTGTAGTTGCACCTAAAATCCTAATGAATGAAGTTAAAACTTACTTTTGAAATAATTTTATGGTTATATTAAGAATGGATACTTAGGATATTTACCAACTCTTACTAAGAGTGTTACAAATTCTTTAATAAGTTTTTATGACAGATTGCCAGTTTAGAATTTTTTATATAGTTATCCCAATTGCATTCATACTAAGTTAATATTGAAATTATGTAGTGATTTCTTACCTTTGTTGGAATTCCAGACCAACTGAGCTGTTTCAGCTCATTCAAATCCAACACAGCACTCTCTAGAACTTGTTGAAATCTTTCCAGTTTAGATTCACTACTTTCTTCTCTTGAAGTCAACGCCGACAGTTTCACTGGCCGTGGACGTCCAGGGTAATGACGTAACCCTGAACTACCACTTGGGACGCCACCGATTTTACGAATTTCATTTTTCCTAACAGCTACAACTTCCTCTCTCGGCTTTACCCCCTCATTAACTTTGACGTCATTGTTTACGTTCTTAGTACTTTTCCGATGGGAATTTATAACATTTATAGCGGCTGTTTGGGATATGGCTTTAGATATCTTAGTCTCTGCTATGCCAGAGATGATGTCGTCGTCGCCGAGGTCCCAGGCATCGTTCACCGATGCCTGGAACTGCTGATATGATGAACCAGACATAACCTTGTTTTGTTGAATCCTCTGACAAGGTCTGCCTGGGACAGCTCTCTGTGGAGTCCTCCAGAACGTTTCAGCCACCAATCCGTTCTTGTCATGTTCGGCTTGGTGACTTTCCATAATAATTATTAGCTAGAGACATTCTAAATAACTTTAAAGAACAACAAAGTGAAATAAGAATTTTGATATGACATATCACTAGTCATAGACAAGAGACTTTTTGAACACGGCTACAACAAGAGTACAGATAACAAAATAAAATTCTAGCTACATAAATGTATTACGATTATTTAAAATATCTACTATATTATATAAATAACTTTCAATTAGGTACCTACTTATTTGTTTACAAACTTTTTCAATACTATATAAATTAAAAATATTTGACGTTCTCTAACACGTCACTTATAAACCCGTAGTTTTATAAATATTGATAAATATTTATCTTTTGCTATTTTTCACTAAATTTAAATTTGTGTTCTCTTCGTTTATACTTATTCCACTAAAATTCAGAAAATACTGCTGGAAGTCGAAACTGGATAAAATTATCAATAACGTTTTTTGATAATTGTTTCTAGGTGGTTTGTTTAATCAATACCAATATAATATGATTCTTGATTCAGACTGATAAAGTAGTCAATTTGTTTTAATAAAATGTCTAGCCCAAACCCAGAAACAGATTCATCGTCAATGTTTATGCAAAAAGGCGATGGTAGAAATACTAGAAGTCCCACTAAATGTGAATCATCTTCCAGAAAAAATTCCCTTGTTAAGGCAAGTATACCGGCTGAGGTGATTACTGTGAAAGATTTTTTTGACTTCATGAAAACAGCTTATCAAGTTTATGAGCATCTAGAAGGTGATGAGGACGAAGGGTCAAAAATTAACTGGGAAGAATTGACTAAGCTGACGGTAATAAATCATGTAATAGGACAACAGGAAAGAGATCTTTTGCAACAAACTGCATTCACTGGTCAGAAAACTATAACGAGCCAAAGTGATACAGTGATTGAAAGGAAGAATAGCGATACTGAAAGAACCGATAAGAGATATAGTTGTAGTGAAATTGAAGGTAGGAAATAATAAGCAATGTGAAACATTATCTCAAAATGTTTTAACTGTTGAACGACTTTACATTTTATTAGTTTATTGAACTCTTTATTAGGGCTAGGGCGTAAGCGTTCCTTGCCTCCAGAAGCTCGTGTAGAGATGCTTGGCGTTTGGACAGAAGCTAATTTAAACTGCAAATTAAATGACGTAAGTTGTTAATTCGTCCGTTTTAACCTTTTGAAGTTAAGAATTTCAAACAAAGTTGAGTATTTTACAGGTTATAAATGAAGGAATTTTGGACTCTATACTTCCATACCTTGTCGGATACAAAAAGCCTTCAAAAACAACGAGTGTTTACGCACCGATTATAAAAAAGTCACCATCAAGTTCTTCTACTGAAATCAAAAAGCCAGCTAGTTTTGGTGGTAAAATATGATACAAATCTTTATTTTATATTTATAACTACCATCCGAGTTTAGATTAAAAAATATATTATGTACTAACATTTTTATAGGTTTCGTCAATGAAAAGGAGTCTTGGGATCGTTTGGGTAGACGTAAATCTTCCGTAACAGCAGCACAAGATCGCGTAAATCAGAAACAGGAGTAAGTACCTATATATAAATTATAAAATATAGTTGCATTTTTTATTTACGTACTTGTTAGAATTCATAATAAATACTAGACACACAATAATATCCATTTTTTTTGTTGGTTACCTGGCTCTACTGAGGAGGTTGGACAATTGATATACATTTTTGATATTTTTTATGTTCCTGTTCTAGAGGTGACGTTGAAATTCATGTCTGCGATGAAGTAAAGGGTTTGAAGAAGGATTTTAGATGTCCCCAAAAACTGCTCATATCTAAAATGGGCTATTTTGCTGACGTAACGGCTGGCCAGCGTTTGGAAGACATGGATATATCTGTTCATTGCGACATCCAGGTATTTTATAATCATTGTATCATACAAACATTTTGTAAATTTCATTAAAATTTAAATATGTCATTTTTTTTAGATATTTGATTGGTTGATGAGATGGGTGAAACGAGACACAATACTCGTAGCAGATTGGCCACTACTGGACCCACAGAATGTTGTACCCATTCTTGTATCAGCTTCATTTCTGCAGGTAAACATACACAAGGAAAAATATGTTTTAATCATTTGAACAATAATAATTAATTACCTAAAATTAATTATCTATACTTTTAACAATATGTTAAAAATAAAAACATACAATTATTACATACAATCTTAAAGTAGACTGAAGAATATGATAGTATTTATCTTCCTAGATGGAGCCCCTACTCCACGACTGTTTGATTTACTGTCACGCACACATGAATGATATAGTCAAGACTTCAACCAACCTGGCCTGCTTGAGCGACGCTCTTTTAACTAGGTATTCACTTACCACTACCGAAATAAATAACTTAGTTTTATCTACATTCCACCCTACACATAAAATCTTTATTTATTTTCCTAATTTAGAAACCATTTCTATTATATTTTAAGAAATAGACTCCGTTGCAATCCAGATAATTTTCGTTTAATTTCTCAACTAACGAAATTGTAAAATCTTGAATTGTTGGCCAATATTGTTTTGGAATATATATCAGTAGAATTTGTTGAATTCAGTTCTCAATCGTCAAAAATCTCAACAGGTTAGCGGCTATGTACACAAATGCGGAACTCGAAGCCATCAGAGATCGAAAAGATAAAATACAGTCCCGTCTTTACTGCAAGATGATCATGTCACTAGCAGAACCCGTACCGGAAACATTAAGGGGACATTACGCAACACTCGCCACGCTATTTAAGTGCAGCAAGTAATAATTTGTTATGAAACCTAATTAATTTTAATACTTATGATAAAAGAAAAATATTTCGATTTCGTTTTCCCATTAGTTTTATTTGAAATCGCCCGTAAGACATTTCCATTGGTATAATTTCAAAGAACTACATTTACTTTAAACGGAACACTCTATTTTTCAATTCTAATTTAATATTTGATAATAAAATTTAACATCCACAAACACCCAGTTAAAAACATAACATGTATTCATAGGTATCAGGTAACAAATATATTATGTTAAACATTATGAATTTAGAAGTATATGTACTAACTGCGCAAAAAAAATAAGGTGTATATCAGATTCTTTACTGATGCAGATGCAACAAGCTGCTCGGTCGACACATCGCTGGACAGGTCCCCTGCCAGCCTTCCTCCATGCGGATTGACAGACGAGGGAACGTCATCTCGGAACACACCAAGTTTGTTGTGATCCTCTGTCATAGATAACCGTTGGTAGACCATTCAGATTAAGATTGCAGGAACTAAGATGTGACGGCATTGATAAAATAGTAAAAAATCTTGTTGCTATGTTTATTCGAAGTAAATTAAACTTCTCAATGTTTACATCTCGTGCGTATTGAATATTATAGGTAGAAATAGGAAACTATACTGTGTATAGTAGGTCCAATTCAGAGAAATTAAATCTTAATTCTCTTATAATACCTCTAGAATTCACTAGGGTCAAATAAGAACCTAGTTATTTCTATTTCCTTAGGGATCCGTCTTGGAGTCTCAATGAATACATTCGCTGGTTGTATGGTGAGTTGCGATCATGGCGTCGCGTCTACTGGCGACTGTGGGCTGACTGTCACTTCCTACACTGTCAGCTCTGTGATTCCTACTTCCCTGCTTATCAGGTATGAGTAATACGTTTAAAATATTCTATTAACTATCTTATATGAATTAAGGAAAGTAGATGTCTTGGTCAATGTTAGTAAGCAAGGCAGCTATAGAATAATACAACACTTATGAGTTATGTTTCCATCAGATGGAGTGGTGTTCCCACCATGAGCAGAGCCCCCAAATGTTCGCTGTACAGGGTGCTCCGCTGGCGGCTGGACGTTACGCTTGTTGTGGGGAGAGAGCTTACCGATTCGAGACACTCACCAGGAACACAGTGAGTCGCTTTTATCTATCAGTTCTCACAAAATGAGTGAAAATTACTCTTACGTTGAAATTACTTCTCGTTTGTGATGTTCTTATGCACAAGGAACACTCATTTCCATACCAGATGATATTGTCCTCTCTATTCTCTACTCTACTACTACTCTACTCTACTACTCTACTATTCTACTCTACTACTCTACTCTGTCTCAGAAAAACTCAAATTTCTGCTTATACATCTTTGTTTGGAGTGTACAAAAAAATTTATTTTTTTTTTGGTTTTATCGACACACCTCTCCCCGCGACCAGAATAAAAACTAAGATATCCTAGTTTGCCTCAATAGTAGAAAACAACTCTGATCGTCTGACATCTGCAGTACTTCTCGGAAGGGCATTAAATGTTCCCTTTAAAATTTAAAATAGACCTCATATCGTGTAAAAAGCGTCGTGAAATGTGGCATTACTTTAACAATACCTTGTCCGAAGTCTAGCTTTGAAGGAGAAGCTCAGAAACTTTGTAAGAACATTCCCGTCGTTTTTCTTATGGGTTGTGATTTTTTACAGGGCTGCCAGTTTAGAGAACATGTCCCAGAAGAGCGCCTGCCCGCCGATGCAGCAGTTATGGAGATCTACAGTCAGTTCCGGGACATAATCGCCATGAGGCCTCCACAGCTCATGTTCCCTGAACGGCTCACAAGACTGGTACCTAGAGGTAAAATTAACGTTCTTAATAAAAAGAAATTATTGTAGTGAAACAAAAATTAAAGACCAACAGTAGGATAAAGTTAAAATTGCATGGAATATCATTCATTGCCGATATACGATCATATTTCTAGAAGGCACGGTGTCAGGGGCTCGACTGCAGTGCTCGGAGGTATACTGGTGGCAGGGCGTGCAGCTGGTACCACCTCGGGCTCCGCTGGGGCTGCTCGGACGACTGTACACCAGCGAACAGCAGTTCAACCGTGAGATCTGGGGCGGTGACTTGCTATTTGGGAATTGGCTGGGTGTAGTGGCTACTTAGAAGACGCTGTCACGAAGTAGTCCGATGATTTATATCTAGACTTCTGTAACGAATTTCTTACTGCCAACATGAAAGTTTATCTCTGATCTTAATTGCTATAGAGACATTTAATATGGTAAAGTTTGAATAGCATGTCATCTCTCCATTCATGAATTTATATATAATATTAACAAAGCTGCTGTAAATACGCTCTCCACATTGGCAATCATCTAGATCTCGAAAATTATTATTTCAATATTTCATATAAAGAAATAGAACAGTTAGCGTTTAGCTCACATATAGATTCAATATAGACAAAATTGTGCAGTCGAGAAATTGGCAAAATTTACATTGAAGAAAATTGGAGATCGTAAGTATAGTATAGAAACGGTCAATCATAGCTTTCTAGCATCACACATGATAGATTTAGACACCACAAACAGCTCTGGTTCGCCCCGGCTCGCCCCCCGTCGGTGCGGTTCGTAGTTCCGCGCAGTCACTGGCTGGGAACGCCACAGTTGCTTGCCCTTCACCTGACCAACGAGAAGTTAAAAAACCAAAGGAAGATAGTCCGAGAAGCAAAGTAAGAATACGATGTATATAGTATATGACATTTTATTAATATAGTTTAGAAGCTTAGTGTTTATATAAAAAGACAATGCCAACTGGTAACTACCGTCACTATAGACTAAATCAGTTTTTAAAAACATTGGAAATGTCATATTTGTTCTTGTTGTATATATAATTATATAGATACTTTATTTGAAACACATCACCGTTATTCTGTCCTGTCTTGTAATTACAGGACAGGACAGAATATATATTATGCAATATGTATAGTATAATATATAATCTAATATAATGCAATTGCATAATAAGACTTGCATTTCTTGACATACATTTATCAAATTGTTCCATAATAATATTTTTCATAATTGCATAACATGTAATTTAATTTGAGTCATTAATTATAAAATAAAATGTGACTGTGAATGCAAAGCAAGGCGTTGGCAGCGGTTCACTAGAGGCGTGCGAGTCTAGCGACTCGAGCGAACAAAGCGATGATAGTGATCGTAGCGACGAAGACGCGCCGCGACGGTCCAGGGCAAGGAGTAGGACCGCGCCTCCCGCAAGGAACACGTCAGTCCTTATATACACATTATTGCGAGATCCACATTATTATTACACTATCTTTAACATTCATGAAAGCTATCAAGTAGAAGTATGTAGCAAATTAGAATTGCTTGGGTACATATCCTATATGATATGAAAGATACAATCAGGAATTGATTTCCCAAACGCAAAAGAGTTATTTGTAAATGGACCATAGAAAAATATTTATCACAGAAGCAAAGTTAAGTTTATATATAGTAGAAAACAGGATTAATCGTATAGGCTGCTATGAGCTTGGAAATCTCTAAGGTTGTTCAAGTTTTCTGGTGTTTTGCCAGTGTCCCTCGACGTGGACGTGCGCCGGGTCGCGTGTGGGTATCAACCCAGAGTGCTCGTAGTAACCAAGATGGACAGAGGAGGTTCGAGGAGCGCGCAGCTTCACATATGAGGGCTGCTTTAGTAAGGAGACACCATCACACGTCTCGAACAAGACCCCACCCGGGTGAGTGATACATTGGAATCAACGTTCGTGGGACTTTACGATTCTGCCATCTCTCCATCATGTATTTACAGATAAAACGATCGCATATGTTTTTGCCTACAAAAGAACTTAGCATATGCGTCTTTTTTTTGAGATAGGAAATTAAAGATTCTTATTATTTTTAAGAACAAAATTTAAATCCATTACAAAGAAAAGGGAAAAATATAAAACGTCATAATGCATTTTTTTGAATAAGTCAGAACAGTGGTTGAGATTAACACTCTGTTTATTTCATCTATTTAAAATGCATGTCGGTAAACTTGTGTGAATGTTTCTATACAGAAAATTTTGATTGTTTTCAACAGGCGGTGTATACGCTCGCTTGGAGGCGGAATGGCGTGAACGTCAAGGCTGCGTCACTACAACACGGACGCGACAGGCTGCCGCCTCACGCGCACGACCCGCTAATAAATACAAATAAAGTTGTCTGTTTCTGTATTCTACTTGCTTCTGTATCTAATATAAACTATTAATACATGTGTTATTTATTCCAACCCTAAGCTGGTAATAAAATGGAAGCAACTGAGTGAGTCGTAAGGAAAAAGGTCGTAAACTTTTTATTTTGTAGACCCTAATGGAATTTATTTCAGACAGCCTTAATACAATAATTAAAATTAAATATTTCTGCTGTAGTTAAGTAACGAATAGTTATTTTATTTAGAATGTTGAATAATAGTCTTTCACTGACTTTTCACTACCTTGAATAGAGTTTTAGGTATTTCCAATCTTCAACGATCAGAAAATTTTGAGATGTATTTAGAATGTTTGAGAATTCGTATCGGAACTGGAGATCTGTAAAATTACATAAAAGTAGTATAAGATTATATTACAAGTAACACTCCCACCACTGACCACAAATATTATTCATTTATGAAATAAAACAAAAAAAGGATAACAAAAGACGTATTAAAACTACTAAAGCAGAAACTTTAGAGGAATCAAAATAAATCCTATCAGTAGTTAAGAGGTTTGTAATGAACATCATTTTAAACATGATTGCGAATTTGTGATACCATAAAATAAAGGAATAAATTCTAGTAATGCGATCAGATCAGAATAATGAATCAAGAAATTTTATGTGTTAACTTTCTAAAAGAATTCTGAACGAGTATCCACTATACTAAGCTAATAAGAAAAAATACAATAATATACTAAATAAAAAAGTAGCCTTATATAATATACCAATAATAAATAAACATATACGTAGTAAGCATATAAATATTACAAAGTAGATACAGATTTCCGAACGGAATTGTCTAAAGATTAACAACAAGCCCACTCTCGACTGACATTGAAGTTTTGTCAAAAGAAATAAATAAATTGTATAGCATGCTTTTAACCCCTACATTATAATTTACAACTGAATATTAAAGAAGATATAACATATTTTTATATTTAACTGTTTATTAATTAACTACGCATGAAGTAAAGAGAGGAAACCCACAGCACTATCTTTGAAAATACAATTTCCTCACTATTTTTACCCTGTTTATACTTTATATTGACCGGAATAACCGGGTTTATGAGCAGTTGCTTTATTTGCGAACTCTTCTATTACTGTGCTAAATTTACTTCCGACCGGATACTGTTTCAATAAAGTTTATAATTGAAATATACTCTGACTTCAGTTTCCAAAAATATTCTATTTTATGTACGAAAATTGCGATTTCATGTGTACTTTCATAGACTGCGATAATCATTTATAATGTTAGCATTTTCCAATCATTGATTTTTACTCACAAATTACATTTTGATACCTACTTTGTCTGGCCCTTTTAAGCATCATAAATATAAAATGTATACTAAAAGTGTTACCAAGAAAGAAAATAAAATATGATTTGATGTTGTCAAAATTCTAATATATAACTTTATCACAGTTTTCTAATGGATTTCTTATGTTGTGTATATATTATGTCTATGATATTTTTAATTATTCCAAAGCAAATGCGAATAAATGAATTAGCCCTCAATAAATTGTTTATTTTATGGCTTTTTTAAAAGTTGCACATAGAAAGTGACCTTACTAAATAACTACATCTAAGTGCTATAAAATTGTAGTTTTATGTTTAGAAAATTTTGAACTAAGTTGGATATAATTCACATCATCAAAACAAATTTTTAGTCCATTTATTTTAAATATTACTTTCATAATGACATCAGAGAACAGAACAAGATCAACAATTACATTGCAAAGTTAAGAGATGTCATAAAGAGGGATGTAAATGTTGAATTCCAAATTAAGAAACTACTGAAGCCATTTTCAGAAATGCCTATGAACACAGTTTAATTCCATTGTTATCTATTTTTGGAAATCTTGAGTTACTCCTCCTGTTTAAGGCACTCCTTTAATTTATTTGTTGGTTATGTATTTGTTTCAATTTTGTTAAATGTTGAAAGTGCATTTTGAAGTACTGTTCAGATAATACCAGCTGCTAAGCGACTTTTTCATAGTTTAACTGATATAGAATTTAAATACTTTCAAAAACAAATGCTTTAGTATCAATCATTACTGTTACGGTACGCAGTACACATAGTAGTTTAAGATAACTTCGGTACATAGCTTTTTCAACAACTCCAATAAAAGTTATAATAACCTTAAGGTTATTATAACTTTTATTGTTATTAATAACATGATAGGTATTTTGTCTTATATATTTATTATTCAAGAGAATATAAGACAGAATAATTAGTCTTGAAGATTCATAACATTCCCAATATAGTCACAGCTTAATTAAAAAATGTAATAATACTCATTTTTGCTCCTAAACTACAGGTTATGATGTTAAGATGAATGATAGAATTAAGTCTATATTTATTGACTAAATGGTTTTATATGTATCTGATAACCTTTAACCCTTTTTATATAATTCAATTTCTTCTCTTTATTTATATAATACTAGCTTAGTCCATCAAATAACTTGTTAAGGGTTATGTTTTGGAGAGAAAATTATTAATTTGTTTATGAACAGAATATATTAAACTAGTTAAAAGTAAATATATAGAATTATATAGATTGCTAGTTTTGTGTCGCCGTTTTAGTTGTTTTAATGGATAATTATTGCATTTCTTTATTTAACTGATACTGTGCTAAAGAATAGCTTAAACTTTAAAACATTTCACATAGCTATTAAATAAAAAGGTCTATTTGAAAACTATTTCTCAAAATCTGCAGCAGCTTGACTAAAGCTAATGGAATGTTCTCAACTATATATATTTTCTTTCTAACGTGCTGCTCAACCCTATCTGTTTAAAGACAAATTACTATCAAAATTATTTTACTAGGATATTTTTGTTAATTATTTAGCTTTGGCTTTGCAAAATTGCAATTATTTATATCATAAATAACCATTCATTATGATCCTTGAAACTGAAGAGGTTATAAATTCATAAATTAGAGTTAGTGACCAGATAGTAGGTATTTAAATGTTCCATATATCATTTTATTTTCATGAAAATTTATTGCAACGCCCTTACTAAAAGCAAAAGTTTAAATAAAACAATATAAGTTAACAATTTCCCTGATTTTGGCTGACATGATGAAAATAAGGTTACTTTTCTAGTATTAAACTGCTATTATACTTCAATTTTAAATTAACTGTATATTATACTAAATGTTTTAATAAATTTGACAACAATATGCTATGTTTTTTTACAAATTGGATACACATTGACCAATCTTTTTCTAAGACATGTGGCATTGCAAATTTATTATGAATTCCAAAAAAATATTGATTGAGTTATAACAAAAGTTTAAGTCCCTGATTGGGTTTCTATTTTTGATATTTAAATCTACTTTTTAACATATACTAATTCATTTACAAAATTAGGATAATATAAATAAAGTTTAATGCAATATTTTCTCAAAAAGAAAGAAGTCTATAACCATTAAATAATGGACTTCTCCTATATCTATAAAGTTGTACTATATTTCTATCCCATAAATAGGCTCCAAGTATCATGTCTATTTGAAAAATATATAATTAAATCGAAAATTCCTCATAAAAATTAAAAGTTCTGATAAAAATCTACTAACCTAGAGACTATCAAAATGAAACATAGTAACCAAGCTTTGTTATATTATAATTATTAATATTATTTTCATTTAAAACTAATAGAATTAACAATACAATTCCTATTGAGATCTTAAATGTTATGAAGACCATTGTCTATACAAGTAACTACAATGATTTCTTTTAAATTTTTATGATGTTATTGATTTTGTTCATATCTAAAACTTTTCCATGGTTCCTGAAATCTGAGTAACTGCTTCAGTAGTATGATAACTATCTATTTTTAAGAAGAAATATTCATTTAATGAAATAAAGAGAAAATTAATCATAACCTACACTTATTCAAGTGGATTTATCCAGTTAAAACATAAGCAATCTTTATTAATTATTTATCACAAGTAATTTATATTTTATTATAATAACATATATTATAATAAAATATTTCTATAGCATCTAATACAATTATTTATATATGAAATCTATATGAATAATGAGGTTATTTACTTAGTTTTAATGACTAACATTACAAAACTATCATTCAGATTTTACTTGAAAATAGATTCTTGTTTTATTATTAATCTTTTTATAATATTAATTTGTATTCTTAATTGAGTCAATGTTGTTTATATTGACAAGAATGTGGAAAATTATTACATATACCTAATAAGAATGTTAAAAAGTTTTTATATATCTAATTTTTCACTGTACATAAGGGTTGTTGAATTTTATTAAACATTAGTTAAGGTTTAATTCCTAGGCACACATAGAAGAAATTATGGATCACACTTTATATCATAGTGCAAATCACTACTGATTTGCTAGTCATAGAATTATTTTAGGGCAATTTATGAGTATAACTTTTCTTAAGAAAGTATATAATCTTATTTGTTCTTCTAAAGCTTGAGCTTAAAACTCATATCTGTTTTATCACTAATAGACTAACTTCTGTTTTTATTTACATAATTTATTCCTATAATACATTTTTTGTTAAATGATTTTCTTATGTAAAGTAACTATTGTAAATACTTTATAATTCTTTTAGGGTTATAGTGTCAGGGATTTCATTATAGGACACCAGTGCTTATCTATTGTGTTAAAAATTTAAGTTTCTGAAGTCACAGCGGTCAGCGGTCAACATTTGATCATTTCAAGAGGATATTGCATGTACTGAGTAGTTTTTTAGTTTTCCCATTTGGAGATCTGCCATTATACAGAAGTTTTTAGGCTTATATATTCTATTTCCAGACAAAAATTTAGTCATAACTATCTCTCTATCTCCTTAATAAAATTTGGAATACATACATTATGAATAATTGTAGTTCTAATATCAAAAGCTTGGACACATACTTTCTTATTCATCTTTCTTGCTGGTGAATAGAGTTCTATTTGGGATTTGCTCTTAGATATTACAACTTTCCTAATGATTGAGTCACTAGGGTACCATTCCTGATGTGATATCATGTATCTAAAATTATTATTGATATAGATATGTATAATAGCAAAAACAAATTAGAAGACCTACAATAATTAAAAATAGTTGAAAATTTCTAATTGAAATTGATATAAGTATCTACAAGCAAAAAACATTCTATAATAACATTAATTGTTAAACATGAATCATATATATTATTCATTTTTATTGTTTAAACATGTTTATATCTATACATATAATAAAATTGTAGAAAAGTGTTGTCTGTACATTGAAAATAAAAAAATAGCAGGGGTTATTGTTATGTCGATGTTGAACCCAAAAATGTAATTAACTTTTTTTTTGTCTGTTCACGCTAATCTCAGAAACGGCTGATCCGAGTTGGATGCAGTTTTCACGAATATATTGTGGTATGCTTCAGTTATGCTTTAGTGTTTGTTTCATGTCCATCGGTTCATAAATAAAAAAGTTATGTCAAATTAAAGAATCACGTCGAACACTATTCTATGCTTATACATACATACATAGGCACCATTAATCTCCGCAACTATTTGACGGATTTGGTTGAAATTTTGTACCGACATATTTTAGAGCCTGGCGCAACATAAAGACTACTTTTTACGAACGAAGTCGCGGGCACAGCTAGTTTAAAATAAAAATTTAATGATTTCATTTTATAACTTACAACTACTGTCAGATATTTTAAGTTAACAATATTGAAACAATCACTAAATCAATAACTTTTCACTACATAAAAAAAAATCAACAGAATTATGAAAATATAAATATTTGCAATCAAAATGTCAATAAATTCCTACTTTACTATATTTATTTTGAAATACATATAGGTACGTATTTTCTATATAAGTTTACCAATAAAGTATCTTGAGTTTTTTTTTTATTTTAATAACATTATTCAGAAAATCAGACATAGTATATCATTAGAAGAAGTGCAGTGCCTATTATTCCAACAAACACAACCTTTTTTACTGAACATACTAAATATTAAAGTATTCCAAATAAAATAGTGAAAAAATTTTAAAAGTAAAATATAAAGTATTTTATAATTTATACACCTAGTATATGAATTAAAAAAATAGTTCAATATAGTAATATTTAAATTTCAAATGCTACTAAAAAGTTTAGGTAACACTATAGGTTTAAGTTTAAAATTTTTATGTCCTTCAGTAAGAACAAGTACTGCCTTGAAAGATTCTGAATACTGACATCGTTCATATCAATTGTGATTTCAGTAAAATATAGAACTGACAATGCCTTCATGTTTGCATGTATGTACTTGCAATAAAACAACTTTTAAATATATTTTAACAATTTTCTGTTTGCTGGTACAAATTTTATAAGAATAATTTCCAGTGGCCAGCAAAAGGAATACAACTACTTTGTGATTTATAAAAATGAAACATTTTCTTAGTCAAGATGGTTTATTATCTAGAACCGTAGCCGGTGAGGGTACTGGCTGGACCGCAGTCCGAACGAGGACTTGAGGTATCCTCGAAGCAACTTCTTGTCAGCACGTGCACCGATAGCCTTGATCACGGCCTCATCCACTGCCTTCTGGTCAACCTTGCGCTGTTCTGATGGTGCATATTTCTGAAAAAGATATTCCGTTATTGTTATATCCAAATTAATGTAGTAGAGGAATTACCTAGGATGCACCATTGGTATTGTATTGTCAGTATAATAATTCAATGTTTTTAGATTTTGTCTTGAAGCAATTAGTAACAAACCTCTTTCTTGGTAGCGAAGATGTCCTCGCCTTGCTTGCGCTTCACGCTACGCTTGACGCTCTTCTTGTTCTTCTTGAAGTAAGCGTCGTCTAGATGTTCGGGGAGCTTGAAGTCACCCAAGTCCACCTTGGTGCTAGTTCCGATCACATAACGCTGCGGAATGCGGCGAAGCGGGCACGAGTTGAACTAGAAATATTAAACATTCATTAAAATCTGCATATACATTCTAAAACCTATGAGAATGTTCATAATTGATCCGAGGAAGAGCTTATAAATATATCCCCGATATACTCACAGCAAAAGGTCCAGTGACAAGCAAGAGTCCACTGGGCAACACGGATAAGAGTACGACGCGTTTGCCGGCGTGTCTACCAGCCAACAGAATGCACACGGTACCAGGAGTGAGGTTTGGCCGAATGCGACGCACGTGCTTGCTGAACGTCTTGTGGTGGGAACGGGTGGTGATTCTGTTTAAATTACAAAAAAATACATATTTAATGTTTATTAAAGATACCTTAATTGTTGAATACAAAACCTATTACAAAAAACTGAATCAAACCCTTTATTACTTTAGTTTATAATTTCCTAACAATAATTAGCAAGAAAGGCCAAACAATTAGTAGTGAGTCATTTCATATATCGATACATATTAATAATAATCACAAATGGTACAATCATATATTTATCAAGTCTCAAAGGTAAAAATTGTACACTTTGTAATGGAGTATACAAATATATGTGGTTGAAATAGAGATATTAAAGAGAGTAGTTAAAATATTGTTGAAGATTTGTATTAAATATTAACATACTTGTCCTGGGTAGGGTAGAAAGACCTCCTCTTCTTGATCAGAACCCTACGAGTGCCTCCATTTTTGTCTCCACCGATAGGCTTAACAACCACTGCTGGTTTCTTGGGTTTCTCAGCCTTGGGGTGCTTCTTGCCGATGAACTTGTACTTAGCCTATAAAAAACATTAAGAATGAAATTGTTCTTCTGGTAAGTACAGTTATTATAAATAATTTTAGTTCATAAGGGTGTAATGAGAGCATGTTGTTTGGTATAATTAAACTAATGTAAAATAACAATATAAATACATAACCAATATTTAATGTAGACCTACTGTAACTTGCAATATACTCAATGATAATGTTTGATCTCCAAATATTAGTGAATATAAATAATATGAACTAAATCTAATCATCAAATTAGGATGACTGTAAAACACTAATTACCTTCTTGTGAAACATTTTGGTCTTGGAGAATCTCATGATTCCATTTCCCAAATCATAGTTCCTTGGTTTGCCAACCTTCTTGGCCTTCTGAACACCGCCTGCTGGGGCAGCGGGGGCCTTAGCCACCGCCTTGGGCTGAGCTGGAGCCATTCTAAGAACAAAACAACCTCAAAATATAACCATTTAACTTACAGGTTAATAGCAAATATGATCGATAATTAAAAATAATATAGGCGACAATGCAAAGCAAGTTTTATAGAATCACTACAATGCTTTAATGTTTCTTAAGTGCACTTTAACACGATCACAACTCTTATTTTAGCGTAGAACTTTTCATGTGTTAAAAATCTAGTAGGCATAAAATATGCTCGAAATCTACTTCTCGGTTAATTATTACTGAAGATTCATACTTTTAAAAGAGAAATTCTGGTAATATCAAGACTATTCTTATGGATTTATTTTTAACAAACACAATATCGACTCACATTAGAACCGGGGAACACAGAAAAAGAAGTTGACACAAGTAATCACAGATTACATTGATTGTTTTGGTATTGCTATACTAGAAAATTCAAATTTAATATCAAGTATATTTACATTAATAACATTTTTCTTTCAAATAAAATATTGTGGGATATTTATTTAAATTTAATCATGAAGATATTTTTAAAATATAAAATAATTATAACACTTTTAGACAAATAATAGAAACTTAAAACAAAAAGTCCTACTGTTCCTATAAATATAATTTTGAAAGTTTGCAATAATAAATTGCTATATTTATGTTCGTCAATGTTTCTCCTAAAAACAATTAAAGGGTTTTTGTATTACTTACACTTTGTTCGTCAGATTTTATTTTTAGAAATACACAACTTCTATTCATCCATCTTTCATCTTTATATTAATTCATAATTAAAATTCATTAAATCCTTTAATAAATAGAAGAAATTAATATTTATATTCATAAATTCAACTAAACTTTGAAATAAAAATTGGCAGTTTGTTTACAATTTTCTATTTTCGAACGTATACAAAGTGTCTGTCAACTATAATAAATAATGACAATGTCATCTCATACAGCTAACTTTAAAAATCAGTATTAGAAATGGCTTCTTTGAGGAGCCCGTCTTCGCCGACCGACGGTTATAAAAGATTCAGTGATGATTTTGCAAACACCAGTATCAACAATTACGGCTCCAACGTTACAAGTAAAACAGAAGCTCAGATTTTTCCATGCACAGTAGCCGCCGCAGTTAGTGTACGCTTTTTGTCGTTAACAATACATATGTAATGCATTTAACATTTTGTTTAATTTTATACCTTTATATTAGTTTCTAATGAGATCGATACTACTTAAGCCTTATACGGGACTCAGATATATGAGTCACTGGTCCACTAACCCACGAGTAACCATTACGTTTTAAACGGTCGACCTACATACGCATTCGCTTTTATAAACAAATTTTTGCACATATAGCTTTAGCCGCATGACGCTATAGATGTACACCGCCTTGCACTTTATATATGACTCTGTATGCTTTCTATGTGGTTGAATATTCCCCCTTGAAAGGAAGTATTACATTATCCTTACCTGCCTTGACTAAAACCATTCAGAACTGACATTTACTTCAAGTAAATTTTCAATATGAACTTTCAATATTCAATATGAACTTTCTATATAAATGTATATAATTTTGTGGTAGAATATAAGCTCTTTAATTTTTACTGGTCTATTACAAATCTTGTAGAGGTGCTATTATATAAAGTTTTAAGTTGTTTGAATAAATAAATATGACCTCATTGCATATGATAGAATAGATTTTCTAAGTTATGTCATATAATCCTTTTTTTTGTAGTTATATTATTGCAAAGTCAGACAAGTTTAACATTATTTTTTCATACATATATAAAGTGTATATTTGTTGGCTTTCTGAGTAAACACCCACCAAATATTTAACATATATTAAATTGTCCCACATTTGTATCTTTAATTGTTCATGCATTAATAATTATCAAAAGACAAATAGAGGAATCAAGTCTTAAAAGTTTTTTTTAATAATTGTTTCTTAATTTATATTTAAATCAATGCTTATTAGTTTAAAAAAGATCAAAACAAATTTGAACTAGGTTTTGCTTTTATTCTCATTTGTAGTAAAGAAGCTTAAGGCACTAGGTATCTAGAACAGCTTTTTAAATTTTATATTGGAGATTATTTTATGGAGAAAATAAAGGTAAGTATGAATTAATGTTGGTAAAAATGTAATTTTGTTTTATAGCATATGAATTTGTCATAAGCCTCTACTTGTAATAGGAAGGAAATATGTAGTTGGAATGATCTGAGATGAGTGCAATTTTATCATAATATCTTATCATTTTAGATTGATAAGGACAGAACAGTTTTACTATTTATAACAAATTGTAGTGTTCAGTTTGGATCACATGATTTACGAAAATGTTGTAAAAATCTTGTAAACTGTGAAATATAAATTAAAAATTAAATGGCGAAGTCAGTATTCATCCCCGACAGAATATATGTTTTGTTAATGAGTTCATGGTACAAGTTAAAATCATGTAAGTCTCATAATATTGTTAATAATATAAATGTAAATTATTTACGTTAAAATAAAGACTTGGCTTGACATACTTGCGAGTGGCTCAATGTTATTGGTTAGAATGACGCATAGCTATTCACAGAAATGAACTCTCACCATAAATTCATTCAATAAATTACATTCTTAATTCTATCGTATTGTGTATGCATTTGAATTAAATTCTCTTAACGTGATGAGATAAAAGTTTGAGATGTAAAGAAAATTTACAGAAGATAGAACCAAGTCACCCTGTTGTATATTGTTTTCATCATCGTATTGTGTAATCCTCTATTATTTCGCATTGCACGAACCTCATTTTGTATGAACTAATAAAATCGCACTGAAAACAAGGTCGTATTTAACAACAGGGCGATGGTTGCTAAACGACTTTAAATTGACTTTTTATGTCTTTCTAAAATTTACTTTTGAGTTTTAATACATTTTTAAATATTAATACATAATTGTTGTTGACATGGTACTATCGTAAATGGTTCAAGTTGTTTCCACGGTAATGAATTTTGTGGTTGGTTTGTGGTTTAACTCTGTTATTATAATTTATTGATACTAATGTATTGTTTTAATCCATTTTACATATTACTTTCCGATGTAGATGAGTATCCATTTCATTAAAACAAAAAATGTATTGACGAATAAAGTTTTTTTTAAGGTTTATAACAAGTCTTCCCTATTTTATAATACTCGATTGAGTTTGCGCTAAAGATCTTTCTGGTTTGTTTTAAATAATTTTTAGTTTTGAATTTGATAATCGTTTTAAGAGTTTATTATAGTTAGATAGCTTATTAGAACTTATTAGGTACGGTTAGGTAAAAGTACACGGTTTATAGTTTAATTTTGTAAATAACTTTTTTGAAAGCTTTCAAAAGAAATTATGGCAACATATTAGTTATTGTTTTTATTCTATTTGTCCTAAGATAGTATTTAGTTACCATTACATTATGAATTATGATTGACTTATCTAACACAAAACGGATTTCCCCAATGGAAACAGCAGTTCTCGAGATTAGCGAATTGAACAAAACAAACTTCAACTGTATAATATAAATATTAGAAAAAGAAAGTCGACAATTGTATCCTTTTTATACGGAAGTCTTGATTTTTCTATTCGACTCCCACTTGTACGGTTTATTATTAGATATTATATACGGATACTACCTACATACAAATTAAATAGAAGATATCATAGTGACGTAAGCTAATATTTAATATGTATCATGCTGTCTTCGAACTGTTTGTAATTCCTGATACCTAAATAAGTAAGTCACGTCAGTAGGGTGGAAATATTGAACATCAGTGAATGGACATTGACGAGAAATCTATAACTTCAACTTAGGAATTACATATCGAATTTTAAGTAAACGATTGAAACCTATATTTTCAATGGAAAACTTGTTTTTTTTTAGTGTGTTTAATAGCAAACTATCTTTTTGAAGCCAACTTCAACAAAAAAAATTTGATTTTAATATATAATCAATCATATGTCCGGTAGTTTTAGAGCAAATTCAAAATTCCTATTGGTTAAAATATAAAATCTTCATTACATATAAATTTACAATGTTACTGATTGCACCGAAAAAGAGGTAGGTAGGTCTCGTTTCCAATTAAGCGACGTGTTTGTTTTCGGAGTAGATATATAGCTCCTTGACTCAATTAAGTTGTGAGTAAAATAACGGAGTGATATATTAAAGTTTACTTAATGATAATTAAATGTAGCGTCAGCATATTGTAATTAATATTTTTGAGTATGTTGTCATTTAGTTCGTAGGCAAAATTTATTAAATAGAAAATATTTCATGGTCATTTTACTTAAAATTAATTTCGAATCAAATTTAATTAAGTATGAATTTAAAATCTAACTGAAATGTCTCGTAACAAAGTGGCAACGATTTGTTGAAATATACTTATTTTATGGCCGTCATATACGATCTTTTTTTAAAATACAGGAGAATTATTATATTTTTGTCAACCATACCTCTAGTGTCTTAATATTTTGTCAGTAAAATGACAACGGCTAGACTGTAGTGTGGTGTCCTATTAAGATTAAAATGTATACTTCAAGAAAATATAAAATAGGGTTGGGGGATTTCTTGTCCGTAGTCAAAGATGTTATACATAAAAGAGTCTATACTGTTTTTACCGATGGCTTAGGTACGTATTATAATTAATGCAAAAGTGTCTGGAAAATCTAAATAAGCATATTAGAATTTCTAAAGATTATATAAAAATAGTTTTTCTATGTGTAATGCGTGTATTCCATGCTTTTCATCGTTACCGACAAAGTATGTGTGTATTTACATACTTACGGCTTGACTTTAAAACGTCTAATGGTAAGTTTAATACCTGCTTTTGAATCTGAATCTTACGTTATTAGGTTTGAGACCCGACATTTTGTTTGACGTAATTTAAATGCAGTCGCCCCCACAAAGATGAATATAACGAGCGACATTTTATACAAAATTAGTAACCCGTTTTCTGGAACGAACCGGCAATCTAATACACATATACCAATGTACATTTTAATATTACATAAACCTCCCCTCTTGAGTTCCACGAAGTCGGCTAGAAACTTACGTAAGGTTTTTGTAAAATAATAATTTATCCAAAGCGAGAAAAAAAAATACAAAGTAGGAAATTATTAGACCGACACTGTTACTTCAATAAAATTTAGATTAGTACAGTATAAGATTCCTTATAAAATTTAATACATCCGACAATTTTTCGTCAAATAAATTTCCGTACATCAATAAAATTTGACTTAGAATCTCTTTCAAAATTTATATACATATAGGCTTTGAAATTGATTGGAACAAAGCCAAAACTTCAGGATGATGAACAAGTTTTATTGAAGCCTAGTTTTGCACTAAAGCTTCATATTTGCGTGTAAATTTATTATAAGGTTCTTTTAGATGTTGTGTCAAAGAGGTATAACATTTTAATCTAGCGTCGTATATAAAAATTTTATACGAATATATTTTACGTGGTTGCACAACAATACCCACATATTCACATACCAACTAAGTATGGCATTAATTATACTGGTGTTAATTAACATAATTTGTGGGATTGTTTTTTACATTGTCATCTAAGTATCTGACACGTAAACAGATTTCTGAATAATTTAAGCGACATTTAAGTAGATAGATTTAGTTAAGATCTCACAATTTGTCAATCGAAACAGTGTTTCAATCTAATAAGGCTTCTTTTCAATCTTTTTCTGTTCGTTTCGTTGTGCAGATGAACAATAAGAACGTTATTATTGCTGTCCTGACTCTTGATACATTCAATCAAGTTGTGACTTGTGACTCACAGCTCACACTACACAGTTGTAGAGTAATTAAAGGCGTAGTATTATTATCATTATCGATGTTTTTTGATTGATTAACGTTATTGTATTACATTAATCCGTCAATCATTCGACTTAACCTTCGGCTCGAAATACAAAGTTCTTAGCTAATTGGTAGCATGTTTTATTTAATCTGTTTTTATGCTTGTTCTCTAATAAAAATTGCAAAATCAAGGTGTAAAACTGCATTGCGTAGTATTCTGTTACTTGTTACACGTAACATTACAGACAATCGGACTGGAGATGGCGCTGGAGACGGGACCCTGGACATGGGAAGCCGTTCATCACTCCACACCGGAATACAGATGTCGGAGGATGAGCACTGGGAAATGAACTATCACGAAGCCGCCATATACTTAGAGGTCATTGGACAGAAATCTTTACAATAATAAAGCTATTTGCAATTCTTCATATCTGTTACCCTTTAATTAATATATGCAATGAATGAATATCATTCTAGTTAGGTTGAGAGCTAATCTTATTAAAGTAAGTGCAAATAACACAAATGTTTAATTTTAGGAAGGCCAAAATAATGAGAAGTTCGATTCGCATCCATCTAGTCCGGAGGAACTACCAGCATACCTTCGGGTACACAACCCCTGGTATCATGGTTTGGATCTCTTGGCTTCACTGGTACTCATATTGCTGGCCTTCACCGAAGATCCAGCGGTACCGGCGTTTGAAGTAAGTTCGTATTAAAGTTAATACGTCGGGTTATTCAGCTTTATTAAGTATATATTCATTAAATTTAAGAAAGAAGCACCATGAAACGCCGTGTTTCAGAATATTACAAAAGTACTATAGCGTCTAATCTAAATAAATTTCGTTTGTAATTGTAATGTATGTGTATATTTTAGCTACCAGTATGGGCACACGGTACTATAGAGCTATTGGCGCTAACTGTCATCGGTATAGAATTACATCTTAAGTTAAAATGGATTGGATGGGGGACAATCTTTAAACATAAGAGGACTATGATCAAGGTGGGTTATCTAAGAATTATAAATTTTACTCCTATATTAATATGATACTTTTAAAGCAACCATAACGACCTTATTTACCATAAAGAAATCTTTTGCTAGATAAAGTTCGTTAAGAAATTCAAATCGAACTAAAATGCAATAAGTTTTCAAATTTCATATATACAGTAGGTAGGTATTTTGAAACTCCCCAAAATTTACATATCAGTATAATCAGGTACTCGAGTAGTAAACTCTTTAAAATTATGATGCAAACGTAAAAAATATAAGTATGTAATATTTGTATAATTATTAAGTTATGAGTGACTCAAATTAAAACCAAACATTTTTAATTCTCGCAAAACACCTATTTAATCGTAATATGTATGTATGCGAGATGTATTGTGTAATTTCTCCAGGGAGTCACACTTCTAATCATGGTTTTGGAGGCGGTTGTGGTGTTGTGTCGACAGTCTTCTCATTTCCGTGTGACTAGAGCATTGCGCCCCATCTTCTTGGTTGACACCCGTCATTGCGGCGGAGTCCGACGTTTTATAAGACAAATACTGCAGTCCTTACCACCCATCATTGATATGTTAGGTTAGCCATTTCAGATTATGTATTTATATGATAATAGCACAAATAATATTAAGGCTTTATAATATTACTAGTACTTAATTTTTGGTACATTTAATTTGTTGACATGTTTAAAATAAGGCTTTGGTAAAAAAATTTGATTGTGTCTTAGAACGATTGTTCTGTAATTTAACATATCTGTTATAACTTAATTTCCAGGTCTTCTAATGTTTTTCGTAGCTACATATTCATTGCTCGGTTTCTACTTGTTCTCGGAGCATGTAGACAACGGTCACTTCCAAACGATCAGCGATTCTTTCGTCAGTATGTTCGTACTGTTGACCACAGCGAAGTAAGTATCTAATGAAATTTAATATACCATATGCGAACATATCTCCAAAATAATATAATATTTTTAGTTTCCCCGATGTCATGATGCCGTCGTATGCAAAGTCCAAGTGGTACGCGTTGTTCTTCATTCTGTATATAATTACTGTACTTTACGTACTTATGAATTTGGTGAGTTCAAATTTTATTATACCATACAAAAGACACAATCAAAAAATGAAATCATTTTTATTACATAGAATAATTTATTTGGTAATTTTAAATGTTTCTTGGATGAAATCAATATTGATTTATTTCCATCAGATGTTGGCTGTGGTGTACGAGGCTTTCACTCGTATTGAACGAGAGAAGTGTCGCGCGTTGTTGCTTCATCGGCGAGGTGCTGCTCATAGAGCCTTCCGTCTGCTGGTGTCAAGGAGAGCGCCTCGTGCTGTCCGTCTGCGGCACTTCGCCGGTCTACTAAGACACTACGCGCCGCATTACAGTTCGTACTGCTGCAATTTATTTTCATCAATATACGTACTTTTTAAAGATTCAATATGATTGTAACCGTTTTTAAATCTACGTACAAAACATGCAGGAAGCAAGAAATCTCTTGCTAGTTTCTAATATTTAGTATTCTTCATTGAGGCTGTTAAGTGTTTTTTATAAGAATGTTTTTTGCTTTAGTACAGAATGGTATTCAAAGGATGTTTCTGATGAAAATCTTTTTTCCGCAGGTGGTCTAGACGTTTATTTAATGTTCAAACAGTTGAACAAATCCGGTTCAGGAGGTCTTTCCCGGTCCGAGTTCAGTCATGTGTACGATGTGTTCGCGCTCCGCTGGGCACCGCAGACCGCTCGCGCTCCTTGGTATAGTGAATCGCCCCTGGAACCACTCGCACGAGCCGCCGCAGCCGCTGTTAGATGGGACTACTTTGAATATTTGATTTGTACGTGAAATTTATTAATTGGGTTTTACTATGAAGATGAATTTATAATGCCAAAATAAAGTTCTATTTTGAAATCAATTTTATATAAAAGGGTAATGTAATTTAGAGATTGCTAAATGCTAATAAATTAAAAAATGAATGAATGTTAGTTATCTTTGTTTTCAATTGTAATTAGCTAATAAATCTATAGCTAGAAGGTGCAAAATATAAATGAAAGTTAATATATTCGAAAGAGTATATAATATATAATATTTTGTTATTCCAGATGCTATAATAATCGGCAACGGCGTGTCTATGATCCTCCGCGTGTTTGAGGCCGCTGGTGACTTGCAGGACAGCGCACGACTTTTGTGTGCCTCCTGGGATACGTGGCTGTTCCTTGTCTGTAAGTATTCTTATAGAAAAGAAGTCTTTATAAAAGGTGATATAGGGTTTGGATACTTTGAAGTATTTATCTTCTATGAATATGAAGATTCACAGCTTGGCGAAAGAGGCTGCTGTAAAAAGCATTTCATCTCGGATGCGTAGTGTCTTCCGGAGCTATATTTATTAAGTCACGTATAAATAATATGAAGAAAAAAATATTTCAATTTTTTATCATAAATAAGAAAACGATGACTTCTTGAAGCTAATGCATAGGTGAATATAATATTGCAAATCGTCAATTGGGGGTAGCTAGTGAGCAAAATTGATAACTACTTGGTACACTCTCCCAATGTGCCAAAAAACAATGACTTGTTCAACTTTCTCAATGAAAAATGTATGTCGTAGTATTCCTTGTGGAAGCTTCTCTCCGTATGCTGGCGTCGGGTCTGTCCTCATATCTTGAATCCGGGTGGAACGTATTCGACTTGAGCGTGACGCTGCTGGCTCTGCTTGGAGCTGTGATGCTGTCTATAGCACCCAAGCTATTCATCGTGGTTATGTTTAGACCATTGAGGTTGGTGAAGTTGACATTAGAATAATCTAGCCTTCTAAAAAATTATAGCTCACCTGGTACGTATAGGCTGATATCTTGATATCAAACAATTATCATAATTTCAACAGCTAAACCTTCAACATACAACAGTTGTCTTTTTTTATAAATAAAACAGTATTACAGCATAATAAAACAAACAACCAACAGTGGCATGTGTAAGCTCTCTAAATATTCCCTGAAACAATCCAGCTAATATTATAATTGCGAAAATTTGTGAGTGTGTGTGTGTATGTTTGTTACTTCTTCACGCTCAAACGTCTGAACCGATTTTGATAAAATTTTGTATACAGGAAGCTGACGTCCAGGAATAATACATAGGCTACTTTACAACCCGGAAATCCGCGGGTAACTCCGTGAGGCGCAGCTAGTATAATATAAATACTAGACTATTTATGTATGAATAAAACAACATCCTATACTATTAAATACTTTCTTCAGACTTATGCGGCTGTATAAGTTAAAGAAGCGTTATCGTGACGTGTTCGGTACTCTGGTGCTGCTTTCGCCTCTCATGTCGTCTGCTGGCTGCGTGATGCTCGTCATGTACTACTTCTTCGCTATCGTCGGTATGGAGCTGTTCGCGGGTTACGACCTCAGGAACTGCTGCGTGTTAGTATTACTTTATATACTTGACCGTCATAATACTATCCAACAAATTTAAGACAGCTGTTATTCTATCTATCTTTTAGTTGATATATTTATTTATTTTTTTGACATTTTGGATTGTCCGAAGTGTGATACAAATTTCTCTAATACACGAAGAAGAAAGTATTTTTAGTAGTCGTACCTTCTTCATTCATACCGCAATGTAAAATGATCGCTGTGTATGTCGGTATATATACATATATATACCTAATAAAACCACTCTGGTCTGTTCGCCATATTGCCTTTAAAGTGTCGAATTGCCATTCAAATTAAAAATGTATGGCAAATTTAAATTTTAAATACTTAGGAATAATTGCTTAAAAATTCAGTTGTAAGATACAGTCAGTTAACACAAGGTTTTAATCCCATTTTATGTATTGTTATTTAAATCAAAAAATTCTAAAGTATATTTTATATTTTACAGTAATACAACTGTGGAAGACTTTTATAAGTACTCCGAGAACAGCTCCACTCCTCTTGGCTACTATTACCTGAATAACTTCGAGAACATTCTCACAAGTGGCGTTTCACTGTTCGAGCTGACCGTCGTCAACAACTGGTTCATACTCATGAATGCTTACGCGATTGTTGTGGGGCAGTTCAGTAGAGTGTATTTTATGGTAGGATCATAAATTATTTAGAGCCAAAAATATATATCATTCATCTGTTTATACATACTTTAAATTTATTGTAGGTATTCTATCTATTCACTATGGTGGTGTTAACGATCGTGGTGGCCAGTGTCTTGGAAGCCTTCCGATTCAGGATACAGTACAAGAGGAGCACCACTAAGAGAGATGGTAATTTTACAATACGGACTATTACATTTTTCTAAATCTGCTATGGTTATCTTGTTGATGACAATACTGTATTAAGTAATCCCATATAAAGATTTATGCATCGGATTTAGCATATCCAGAAGGATCGTCAAAATCTAATGTAATAGTTTAATAAAAAATATCAACTGTTTTGGGTTTTATAAAGGGAGGATTTGTTTTTAAAATTGGGATCACAGATAGATGTAATGTTTTGAAACATGGCCTATTGTCAATGCTTGAGATTTTAATTTATTTCGCAGAGGAAAAACTGCTACACGAGGAAGTGCATACGTCATGGGAAGAGGCACAGCGCTTCGGGGCAACTGGAGACTTGGCGGATGAATTAAGGGGATTTCTTCCACCAGGGGTTGGTTCCATATAACTTATCTTATGATTTAAGCGTAGCTTCCTTTTACTTCGTGGTTGGATTCCGACTTATACTTTTTGAAGATAGGAAAACTAACTATTTGATAATGTTATTTTACTTAGATGGAAATGACATTCATCGGTACCAGACCGAGAACGAAGGAAGTTCTACAGAGAAGGATGTATCAATCAGACATACAGAAGTGGTTGGCAGATGAAGATGATAATGATGGTAATTTAGCTCTTCACAATCTATTATTTAATATTGCCACCCATTAAACCTATTACCGTACTTGAAAATTTCTTGAGAAATATTTCTCATTTATATTCTATTCACAGATTTGCAGCCCTCTACAACGGCTACGTCTAATGATCCGCTGTCACCGCCACTGATCCAGCAACCAGATTCAACCAACAACAACCATCAGATACGACCCGGTTACCAGTTGTAGAATTTAATACTCCTGCTCCTTCGTGACAGAATCACTTATGTGTGGGACTTTTTACAAAACTTATAAAAACTCTTTGGTTGAAGTGATTCGTTAGTTGTTCTGACAAAAATATACTGAACAGGCGAAAAAGTAAATATTACAATGTTTTAAAATAATGCAATTAATTAATATAACGTTTTATTTATTGATATCTGTTAAGTGGGGCAGCTATAATTAAGTGGAATTTAAATCTTACTTAAAAATTACTTTTAACGTTTATGCTTATTACTAAGAAATTTCCAAATATATATCGGACGGTATTATATAATATCTGTGATAGTTGACAGTGGCAGATTGGAAGACAAGATTTTAGCGATTTCATTTGGTTCTTTATTAAAATCTTTTAAGAATACTCAGTCACTATTTATGTATCTAGGTCATTATAAATCTTAAACGTATGTTCTATAATCAAGTTATGGACATTTAGCCCTTTTATATATCAAATCATTTAAGTAGGTATGTATGTTGTCAATTTGACTCCAATGGATAGGTACCAGTTAAGGACTACTTTTACAACACGGAACATTTATTTTGAAAATTATAAAATTTTATCTATTAACTTGCCGTGTGATGTATATCCGTGACCTATTAGTGTCACTGATAAATAATTTTATCTAAAGATTGATTTTCGAACAAAACTTGTACGAGTAAATGCAGTGGTTTAGTGTATTGAATGCTTTCAAAAATTAATAGTAATATTAGAAGCCTTAAGGCAAGAGGCCTTATAGTTATATAAATAGATGTACCGGAAATGGCTTTTAGTAAGTGAAAAAACAATCACTAGAAATTTATTGTCACCTCGAGATTTTATGCTACTTATTGCGGATATATTTATTATTGATAGTATTATTATGTTTTAATTAATAACTTTAGTGATTATTTATAGGCTTTTGCTTATGAGATTTAAAACTCAGTATTTAATTTTTGTAGGTACTGTTCAGTGCAATTTATTGTTAAGGAAAACTGTCAATTTCATCATTGTTGGTTAAAATATGAAAACTAACGTGATTTCGTATCATCAAACTAAATAGAGTTTTTTTGTTTTTGGTATTTATTGTATGGTATCTTTTGATTTATGAATTAAATTTATGTGTATATATTGTAATGCTGTGAACTAGAATTAAAGCTACAGGCCTATTTCTTTAACTAACTCGGTGTGGCAGTTTTCTTAACTATAGATTATGAATTGAGCCGGCAGATCATTAAGTCGCATATAGAAAGTAGTTTAAGTAGAAAATGCATTTTAGGTGTAATGGAATGTTACAGGTCCTTTGTAGGTGTATTAGATATTTTGGTTAAATAATATTTTATTGGCAGTTCATGTAGAAATAAATATATATAAATATATTTTTGTATTATATTTTAGTTCAGTACTTTGATTTTTTTTTTGTTTTCAATGAATATATGTGATTGTGATAGTTTACAAAGTAAAAAGGACCATTTAGTGAAATTTTCTTTTTGTTCATCAGCAGATGTCCATTATTATTTGGAAATAATTTTAACACTGTTCAATATTAACTATGATTACTTATTTTATTGTTACCGTAATAAATAAAAGTATAACAATAATCTTAGTTTCATTCCAAACAACAATTTCAACCTTATTGGAAACAAATACATAAAAAAAACTTTAATCATTTTATATTGCTTTAATTATTAAAATGAATGTCATCAATTACTAAAATACAAATAAAATACCCATAACATCTTGTAAATACTGAATACCATATATAAAGCCGACCTTCTCTTAATATTTATGTCTTATTCACCGTAGAAGTAATTCTTATAAAATATAAAGTGATTTTTAATTCTTATACAATTTCAAGTGAGACACCATCGCTTCCTAAACGAGTGTCCTTCACTGCATATCCTTTATTCTTTAGATCATCCATTAGAGAGTCTATTGTGTTTTGATCACTTGATGGCGGCAATAAAATAATAGCATGTCTGAAATAAATAACATCTATATTATAATATTGCTTTATTTAGTGTTATATTAAGTTAATTTATATTATCTGTAGGATATAACAAGTATTTCAAACCTTGGTATGGCAACACTTTAATATGCTACAGTGTGTGATTTATTAGGTCATGTTGTTATATAAATTTGTTCTATATTATTTTTTTTACTGTAATCTTAATTAGTGTATGAGCTTTTGGATATCTGTTACTCACCCCCCACCACCTGCTCCAGTTAGCTTGCATCCAAAACCGTACACCTCAGCCGAAGCTCTGATATCTTCTAATGCCGGGTGTGATACACCCAGAGATGCTAGAAGACAATGGTTCATGTTCCATAGATCCTGAAAGACAGTTTTAAATAGATATCCCATTATACTGTCCCATTGATTGGTGAAACTAGTTTAATTGATACATTCATGATAAAATACAATAATGTACCCACAATTTATTACTGAGCAAAATATTGTTTTTATGGAAGTCAGATAAAATTTCTTAGGTAGCCTTATGTTTAACCTTAATATTTCTTAAAGTAACCTTCATTACCTCATGCATTCTAAGCATTGATAACCACTAATAATCCCTTCATAACATTTTTATCATTACATAGAATGAATAAACAGATAGACAAAAAAAAATTAACATATATAATTATATATATATACCAAGTATATATTCGGTATGGTTTTAGTGAAAATATGCAATGTCTTATTGGACATAATATACATATTTTCATTACAATTCCATTGTACTTACCCTCAAATGTCGGTATTTCTCTTCAATATCCTTGACTTCGTCTTGTGCCAGCTCTTCCAAGATCTTAAAGAAATAGTCTCCATTAGAATCCACATATAGGTAAAAATAACAATACGTATAAATTGAAATAGACATCATAAAGATGGAAATTATATTTAAGAAAATTCTTATTAATGATTAATATACTTACTTTTATAGCAGTAGTCGTTATATGACCGCAGGCCATCATCACACAGCCTACAGCATCACTGTTTTTCTCCTTAAGAGCTGACACGTGGCTTACTAATCTCTTTGTATTTCTACTGACTTTTGTATCGACGAGCAGAATACGTATATTGGTTTTGAAATCAAGCAAACACGGCGTTCCACCTTTTTTGAACGAAACTAGAGAGCCGAAAGTACACGTTGTGTTGTCTATGCCTGGGAAATAAATTACATGTTAATATGAGAATACAAAAAGAATAACGCTCTATAATATTTCATTCATGACCAACCTGAAGGTGTTCCATGCATTATCTTCTCCGATTCGAAAGCCTCAGCTGATATACGTTCCAAATCTTCCAAATGAAATATCTTGTCATTACAGCCACATTTGATTTTGAGAAATTGCAGGAAAGCTGCTACTAAACATACCGCGAAGGAAGCTGAACTGCCTGTGCCAGCGCCGATAGTTAGTTCTGTAGTCATTTCGACACTCATACTGTTTGCTAGTAAATCTGTATGGCCAAATATCTTAGAAAACAGATAAAGAAACGATCGCAGAGACTGTTTTTGGATTTCTGTAATTTTTTCAAAATTAGGTTTGATCATGCTCCAGAATCTGTTGACTTTTGCTAAGTGGCTTGCATGGTCTACTTCTATGGGGTTCTTCCATGACTTTGAAAATGGTGGTTCAAAGAAATACTCCACAACCTTCTTCAATGGAATGCTTTCATTCAGTCCCAATGATAGGAAAATAATGTTGATCGTCGGTTCATTAGTTACCTCTATTTCCTGAAAAGTTTGGAAAATATGGTATAATTTTGATCATAATGTGACTTCTACAAAATTTATTAAATTATGTATTACCTGAATAATGGTAGTAGTTCGAAGTCCTATGCTGCATGCTACCGCAACTTCCCCATAGAGAACCGAATGCTCTCCATGCAAAATAACCTTACCGGGAGCGGTGACCTTCACTTTACATAAATCCATATTTACAGATGATATGGGTTAAAATGATAATGTTTGAGCTTAAGGCACTCATTAAAATACTATTGGTTTTGTGATTTCCATTGGTCTACCGTAAGGGTCTTCTGAGTGAAAGCGTGGATAACTTTCAGTTCTTCTTGGAGCACTGAATTAACTAATCTGTAAATATTTGTTTGAAATTGTATATACAATAGTAAAAGATTAGATTTAATTTTAATATAAGAGTATGAACAACATAAAACATTACATAAACGTAAGGCGGTTTCTGTTTAGAACTTTGACCGTAAAAATTTAATTAGATATAAAAGATTTCTGTATTCGTCACTACAAGATGAAATCATAATTTAGCTGAAGATTACACTTTCGATTTTAGTTAATAAGTACATAGTGTCACTAAAAAGGTAAAAAGACGTTGTTTGCCTTTCGTCTTTATCACAATACGAAATTATTACTTTCTTGGTAAACCATAAATGTTGAAATAGATTCTATGTTTAATTAACAAAATACTCTTTGTATATTGAGAAAATAGTAAAATGTTTGAAAGGAAACTCTATCATGCAATGATTAACATATATTTTTTTTGTTTTTTGACTTGTACACTCTTAATATTTATACAATTCTTAGGTTTGTGTGGTTTTATGACTAAGATGCTAAATTTTATGACTCATATGCGTTTTATGACTAAGATTGATTGAAAATTCGTCTTGTGTTAAGCATGTAGGCGGTTCTTTATGGTGATATATAAGAGGGAGTATGAATATACTATACCTGTGTCTAGCGAGCAAGGGTTTCCCGATGAACTTATCAGACACAATGACAGCGGAGAATTTGCCACCGCAACCGTCACTCTCGTCCACTACTTCCTAAAAACGAGCAAATACACTAACTGTAATGCAGTTCAAAATATTAGGTAAACAGGACATACAATAGTTTACTTTCACACAAATGAATAAAATATGTCAGGGCCGTATATAAAATAAAATTCTTTTGCTTAGGTACGTATTCATATTAAAAGGAATATATACAATAGATACAAGATATCATTTGCATTGATAGCAGTCATTGAGACAACTCATTTGAATTCAAAGTTAAGATGCTTTTCATATGTAAATTTAAAATCTCAAAATAACTCGTTGTTATTATCCCGCATAAATAAATAAATGAATTTATTATCGATAAAAGAAAATCCGGAGTTGCTTCTTTTTTGTGGAAATGGATGGGAAACAAATGTTTTTTAAATATAATGAATTTTATTTTACAATCACATGATCACATACATTCTTAGTTCTTCCACACGCAACCACAAAGGGAATTAATAATAAAGATATAATTTTGAAATTTGTGCCCTGAATTAAAATTTAAAAAAGTCGTATAGTTTAATTTCTGTATTAGAAAAAATTACAAATTGTATATTAATAATTAAATTATTATTCACTAAACCAATACTGAAGTACTATTTATAGCTGTAAAAGTTGATAAATTAGGGAAAAAACTAATATTACCGATGAAAATTTTCGTGACAATAAATTTTAAATTACCTATGTACGACAGGCTATTTAAATATTTTGTATATGATAATCCGTAATAAATACTTAATACATCGATAGGATGTTATGTGTAAATTAAAAAGTATTTATCTTTTTTTTAAAGATGTGAAATGCATTTGTATGGGAACTTTGATAGTCGAAACGAAACTGTATCCAATAATTACATACTTAATTTAAACATGTTCATTGGGAACCTTGTTATTTTTAATAAAGACTTGGGATTTTTTGGAACATTTCTGTTAATGACTTATATTAACTATCTAAAAAAGAGAAGACATATCTTTCATACTTTAGTCATTCAATAAAGGAGCCCTTTTCTGATACGTTCCAACTTAACAAAATTAAAAAAAGTCCAGAGAAATTGAATTTATTAGATTAGTTAAACAAATTCTACATGTGTTAGTCGGAAAATAGAAATCAATGAACTTATCCATAATCAATTATATTTATTTAATAGCAATAATTATATTTCCTACAAGATCTATAAAGTTTATTATTTATTTATTCAACACCATAACCATAATTATTAGGTCAATAAGATTATACAGTTAAAAAATACCTATTAAAATTAAATCACAATTTCATTAGGAATATCTCTATTTTTATACGCATTACGTACATATGCATATTTTATTTAACATAATGAATGTATGAGGATAGTCACGATGGTATTTAAATAATCAAAACTCACCAGTCGATGGGACGTGCGTATTCTGCCACGACTAGCAAACAACTGGCAACCAGTTTAACTGTTTATCGGACATAACGGTATGCCGGTAGTAAAATAAGTTGTAAGTGGTATATTCGTTTCATTGATGAGCGGAATTATATACAAATGCATATATTATAATAAAAATTATTTTTACATAAGAACAGTTAAATTCAGAATTATTTATGCATAAAAACGAGATATCCTAACATTTATGACAAATTGTATGTATAATCCGATAGTTTTCTATGAATCCCATCATTGGCTTATCTATGCTAGAATTATCTATGATAATAAATAGATTAAGTATTGAGTAAAGTTGATGAATAAAAAAAATTCTTCATTTTTACAAGGTTACCATTTATTTTAGTTATTGTAAAACTAACAACACAAACTAATGTTTGTAGCACTGTTCCACAATGAATGGTTAGTAACGTTTCTTTTTATTTTAAAAAATGTTAAGGTTTAAAAATGATCTATTATAACTCATTCTGGTGATTTAAAAAAAATATTAATTTATATATACTAAAAATACATTAAATCCTTCTTTCTGAGGAATAATTAAAAATAATCTTTATAATTATGAATAACACATACACCAACTGTATGATAGCTGAGGTTCAGTTAGTTTTATTATTATTATATTTATAAGGCTTTTGTCAATATTTAATATTCTACTGTGACTTCTAAGTTGAAGGAAAAAATATTGACAAGTTGAGAATGTCTTCCTTTTTTGTAGTCGGTTAAAACAATCTTATGAGAATTTAATGTCTATAATATTTGTAATTTTGAAATAAAACCCACTCCCACACTGATAACAGTTCAACTTCATAATATATATCTTACATTAAAATACAAAATTTATTGAACATATTGTTAATACAACTTTTTACAAGTCCTGTACAATAGAAAACACAGCAGCAAAAAATAACTATTCCAAAGTAAAGATTTGTTGAATTCCACCAAGAAAACAGTTGATATTAGTTTTTAGAGATCACAAAAACTATAAATTCATGATTAAAATTGTTTTACTAAAAACATAATCAACACAAATAAAACTAAGTTAAAATGTATAAATAAAATTTATTCGGAATGTTAAAATATAAATTTTATGATTAATTTAACTTAACTTTGGCTTTAGTTGGCAGAGATGCTGGCAGCATTAGTTGTTGGTGCGTAAAATAAAAGAAAAAGAATACAAAATGTGCGCATGAATACATAGATATCAAAACAGGAAATAAATCTGGATATTTAGAAGGAGGTTCAACAAATAATGTACCTAGTATCAAGAAAAACATACCTAGAAGTGACAAGAAAAAAGTTATTGTAAGCATCTTCAGCAAGAAATTATTCTTATTTGGTGTCGGATTGATACATTTGTTCACAGTACTAGCATTCAAAAAAGAAAACGGCCCTGTTTTACATAAACAGGATAATTGTAATGATATACTATGAAAACCTATATAGATCAGATTTGTGCTAATGAATGGTATCAGCAAACCATCTTTCAATAACAACGGCAACATGCTGAAGTTTGATACTAGTAAAAACCAAAAGCAAATAAAGGGATCTTCTGGTAAATGTATAGCGACGGGTATTGCTACTAGAAGTATTGATTTCTCATGCACTTGATAGGAAAATAAGAAAAACGCTAAAGAAACATTAATGAGACTTAAAACAAACTTTTTTACATTAATTCTAAAAAATAAATCTAAGCATGATGGTGCAGCTGCTAAAACAGTTGATAGTAAGCATATTCTGACCATTTCCTCGTTCTTATATAAATGTTTAAGTTTTATAAAATTGTTAACTGTGCACCATACATTGGATACTTTGTCTTCAAAAACTCCTCGCTTTAATGGAAAAAGTCTATGTAAAATTTGTAAAACATTGTCCCACGAACTTAACATAGGATACCACACTATTACAAATGTAAATATGACTGCAATACCAATTTTGGCAAGTTTTCTTACAAACTGAATCAGTTTCCCTTTATTAGATACTATAAAACATTTTCTTAGTAGATAAAAGAAAAATGGTAAAGCATGGTATAATTCCATCTGCTTATAATTAATTGCTAATACAAAAAATATTGTAGATAGTATATCATTCTGTATGGAGACAGTAAAGAATGTGGCCCAGAGAAATAAACCTAGGGAAACACAGTTATATTGGAAATGTCCATGATCAATAATAATAATGCCGGGATATAATAAAAACATGACCAGACTAATATCTGTATGTTTAAATATGTTGTAGTTGAGTTTTGGCTTCATTCGTTCACGGTTAATAGATATACATGCAGCAGCAGTGAAGAAGAAGTACACATCACACAAAAACACTGTCCATCTCATGAAACTCTTGTGGAATTCGTTTTCGTAACCACGAGACGCGAAGAGCCGCACGGATTCCGGATCCAACCAATCGGCTATCAGGCCCATTAGAAGACTGTGGTACGCTGTCAGAGGTGGATAATCAAGACCCCAGTACTCGAGATCATTCTGTGTGGTGTTGTGATACCAGGATGATATTTGGGTATGCACTGTTATTTCTTGCCAGTGTCGTTGAGCTTCAAAGTCACCATACATAGGTGGTTTTTTATAACCTGAGTAAGGATATGCGGCAACACACCATCTCACGAGACAAGCCAAAAAAACTCCAGGATACAATGTATATTTGGTTATTGTTTTATCAGAATCGGCACGTTTACCCATATTAATTATAATTGAAGTGAATTATAATGTTACGTTTGCAATAATTCTCGGTTTGAAAGATAAAATAGGAGCGCGTACGTTTGAAATATTTGACAGGTCATACTTACCACATGAGCGGCGTCCAGCTCCTTGGTTAGTTTTTCTTTTAAATATTCCTCTGAATACACCATATTCCTTAAATTGTTAAATAAAATAAAATAAAAATGAATTGACAAATAAAGAAAATTGCTTTAACTAAAATAGGTCACTTTATTTTTTTATGAAAACATAGGCATGAATTCCCATGTTATATTTTAAGTCAGCCATAGAGTATATATATCTTATATATAGACAAATAATACATACATATAGAAACTTAATACTCTAAAATGTTAAATAATCATAAAATTTAAGAGAGTTTTGTTTAATTTTATAGGTACTGGTTTACAATGCATTAATATTCAATAAAGTATAAATAAACAAGAAGCATTTTAATTGGTACATTATTACATTTTTTTTTAAATTGGTGATTATTGTTCAAATAGTTTTAATTTGGTTGTGTTTAATATAATGAGTTAAGCTCGAGAAACTATATAGCACAAATAAAATGTCTTATCACTGTCAATATCACTTAGTGATTCACTTAAGAAGGAAACTATTGAAGTAGCTACCGTAGTGTAAATACAAAATAAATCTGAATACGATCTCTTTTTAACTCTTTTCGTGCGTCATTTCGATGTCGAAACCTATTTGTAGTAAAATTCTGAAATAAATAAGACAAAAGAGATCTGTTATATTATTATTGAAATAAGTATGTCAAACATGTAAATTTTCACTGTAAGCACAAAATCTGTGACATAAGTAAATCTAATTACGCTTTAATTTTCAACATGAAAATGGAAGGGGAATCTACAACAGTAAAGGAAAATTTAAATGAGTGGAGATTTAGTCTGCATCCGAAATATATATTGCTACCTATTGATGAGAACCATGATCAAGTTAAAAATAATGTTAAAAACGTCATATACTCCGAGGTTAATGCAGTTCCATAATTTCATTTTATGCTATCAAAATTAATTGATCTATTCGTCAAGGGGTTAAAATGGCATAATTCTTTTATTTCTGTGATCACTTTTTCTTGTTAGCTTACAGTTTTTTTTTCTTTCACCAAGCAAATATTTATCTTTCATAGATATTATTCTATAGATTTTCTAACGTAACTCAGGTTACTCCGCATCCGTTAGAAAAAAATTTACGTCTCGTATGTTCTTCTGGAGATGCACTTACAAATATTCTTGATATGTCTCCCGAGATAGTAAATACGGGTGACTTTCTTGAATTTGTTGGAGGAAGAAGATTGCCCTGTGGATCTTTGCCTGTTGCACATCGGTAATAACCACCACGTTATTTGAATTATCATACGCAATTCAACTTCTCTTAATATCTCCTTTAGAACAAAGTTATTTTTGAATAGTTTTTAAGATTATTTGTTCATACCACAATTATATCTAGGTATGGCGGTCATCAATATGGACTGTGGGTGGGTCAACTTGGTGACGGTAGAGCTCATTTAATTGGTGAATACGTGAATAGGTATTTACAATGAAAACACTCGTATCTTACATACTATTAGATTGAACTAGTACAGATTAATATAACCATTGTTAAAATTCTTTAACTAAACAGATTAAATTATGAAATGAACTGTATATAGACTTTTTTTCGCGAAGTTAGCTTATAATTTTGATAGATTATGCGAACGTTGGCAAGTACAGCTGAAGGGCTCGGGTCTAACGCCTTATTCAAGATCGTATGATGGTCGTTGTGTGCTGCGCGCCGCCATCAGAGAAATGGTTGCCAGCGAGGCAATGTTCCATTTGGGCGTGCCAACTACACGCACTGCTGCAGTAGTAGGTAAGGAACAGAAGAATGCGGCATTCGTATATATAACATATTTTTAATGACCTATATTATGTAATTATAATGAGCAGATTTCTCAAATTGATAATAGTTTTACATATCTTTTTTCAATCTTTTATAGCCAGTGACGATACAGTAGTACGTGATTTGTACTATTCGGGAAATCCCCACCGTGAAAAAACGGCGATTTTATTAAGATTATCACAGTGTTGGTTTCGCTTTGGTTCCTTGGAAATCTTGGCAAAAGGTGGAGAACTAGCTATTTTGAAGCAAGTGACTGACTTTATAATTAAGGTATTTCAGATGAACCAATGAAACGATAAACAACATGTCAATACATAGATGTAAAAAGAGAAAGATTGAAAATAAGACATTTTTATATTTCAGGAACACTTTCCTGATATTCATCTCTCAGACGAAAATAGATTTATTCGTTTATTCTCCGAGATTGCACACAGATCTCTGGACTTAGTAGCTAAATGGCAAGGTATAAAACAATCATTATTTTCAAAGTAGTACTTAGTACTAGTTTTGGAGCTATTATTTCTCTGGCGAATGAATGAATGAATATTATTATCAATAAAAAAGTTCTTTTATATTCACTATTTCAAAATATTACATTCCAGGTTTAGGTTTTACCCACGGTCTTTTAAATACGGACAATATGAGTATTTTGGGGGTTACCATGGACTATGGTCCTTTTGGTTTCGTCGATTCTTATGATGGTGGCTTCGTCTCAAATTCATCAGACGGTGAAGGACGTTACTCACTGTCAAAACAACCAGATGTTAGTGAATAAAATGCGCCACCAATAATTCGTTATAAGTAATAAAAACTAATGTTTATAAATTCAGATCGTGGCGTGGAATATAGGCCAGCTAGCGAATGCTTTGAAACCGCTATTGTCTTCGTCACAGCAAGTGCACATGACACATATATTGAAGACATTGGACACTTATTGCAAGAATAAAATATTGTTAGCAATTGTTTTAAAACTCCCTCTAATGATGAATTTAGTTGTAGTCAAAATATTATTTTCGGTAGAACACTTACAATTAAAGCAGTTAGTTAATTTTATTGTCCAGAAACTTTTGAAATCAACATAAGCAAAGCATCTTTAACTTCATTGTGATGGAATATTTTATATTGACTTCCTAGAAACAAAATTATAGTAAAGACGTAATATTTTAGGGAGACATTCTTAATGAAAATTGGTCTAAAGAAGGAGCGCTGGGGTGACGAAGAATTGGTAGAAAAATTACTAGATATGATGCAGCATACTGGAGCGGACTTCACCACTACCTTCAGACAGCTATCTGAAGTAAATTAGGCTTCATTCATAATATCAATAAATGATCAACAGAATTATCATCATCGAATAAAACACACAACATTGAAGTCACAGTGGCTGACAGGTATAGAGCAAATTTTTTTAGGTAATATTTTGTTTCATTAACTTCTTCATACAGCTAGAACCTCACGAAATGGTTACTGGATCTAAGTTGGAAGAAAAATGGTCGCTAAAACGACTATCTTCTCATTCGTCGTGGGGATGCTGGTTGGATCAATATCGAGAAAGATTGGACAAAGAGTCTGGTTAGACTTTTCATTTACTTTAAAAACAATAGTTAGTTAACATACTTTTTCTTACTTAAAACCCAGACCAACAATGGAAAGTACTTATACAGTCTATTCAGTAAAGAAACATCAAAAGTACGTGTTACTGCCTGTCATATTAAAATTGGGTACAATTAAATTGGTGAAACTTCTGCAGTAAATTGTATTAATTTGATTAAACCTATCTGTTCACCTGTCAGTTGATAGCAGCAGTTCTTGCGTGTTTTCTGTGGAACGTGTTCGTCGTATGCGCTTGGTCAACCCCGCGTATGTTCCGCGTACTTGGCTTATACATGAAGCTATACAAGACGCGGAAAGAGACGATTTCACTAAGGTTTGGTAAATTTTTAAGACGTCACTTTGTTTTAAGTAGACGGTAATCTTTTTGGGACTCGATTGAAACTTTGAGTTAGTACATTGAAGTAGGGTATAGTGCGTTTGATTTAAGCTGAGCTTTGCATTTGTGTGAGTGCACACGGATAGTGTAGGTGTGATGTCAAATTTTTGAATGCCACGTTCTCTCTTTCTCTCTCTCTTCTCTCGTTCTCTCACTTTCACTCACACAAATGCAAAGCTCAGCTTAAGTCTAACGAACTTTACGGTAGAATAATAATGCGGAGTCTAAGGTAAACCATATCAAAACCTCTAAATAATTTTCAAACAGTTTTGTCGTCATTGACTTATTGGGTCTGTTTTACAGTTACGGTTTCTCCTACAAGTCATTCAAAATCCGTACGAAGTGCAGCCAGAGGCGGAGGCAAGAGGTTTTTCGAACCAGCCTCCACAATGGGCTTACGCTCTGAAAATAAGTTGTTCTAGTTGATGAGTAAATTGTATACCTGGAATAAACTAGTATTCTTATTATATTCTTAACTTTTAATATCGAAAGTTCAAATGAGCAAAAAAATAAAAAATATTAATGACCTAAGTACTCAAAGAAAACAATGAAGTTTTTGTCGTATTATTTGATAATTGAAATTGAAGTTATGATGTAGGAAAAAGACAGATTACTGGAAATTATTGTGTTTTATACTAAACAAGGACTAATAGGAAATAACTCTAAGTAGAATGGAAAGAACAGCATGCTCAAGCAGGAATATAAATGTGTATATATATATATATATATATTAACAAATCAGGTACTATCCAATATCCATCATTAATTAAAATTGATTTTTTTTCTTGCTACAGGTTATTAGGATAGGTTTAATAAACTGTACCAAGAACACGTACAATTGAATAATAAGTAAAAGAAACTAAAATAATTTGACATGATATATTACTAACATACAATAAGTACGAATATTAAGTAATTTTAGGTAAAAATATCACAATGGATTCTATCTTTTCTAGTCTATAAATACAATATTTGTTATACAAATTTTATAAATTTTTCCTTATTACATAATACGTATTTTTAAATAAAATTATAGTCTATTATATTCTATAGTAACTATAGTATATTGTTTACGCACCACGTAACTTCATACATAAAGAAAATATTTCAACCATGTTTCAAGGACAACAAATGTCAACAAAGTTTATATTTTCAAAACAAAAACTCAATAAATTTCGTCACTAAGTAGATTATTCGAGGAACATAATTTGTATAGACAAAGTCCGACTTGAAAATATTTAAATATTTCATTAAGTACTCAAACACTTCGTCCGATTTTAAGTTTCAACAAAAAATTCAAAATAATTCAATTGTATACTTTTTAAGAATATGCTCAATTGGTATAATTAGCACCAAAATTAAGTACACTTCGGAGTACACGAGGTACGTTCTTATTGTAATAAATTCATTAAAAATAAATACTATTCATAGCACTGAAATATAAAAGCTCAATGTGTCCCACGGCGCTTGATTGGTTCACGTCGAAGCCGCGTTATAAGCTGTTATGGGTTCGCAATAAGCTGTTCCATCAAGTGGTGATGGTGATAGCTGCATCCTTCTTCGCTTCTATCATCTTGTAGTAAACCACAGCGTCGTGTACAGTCGGGAACGTGTCCAATTGTAAGCGGTCAGACTCAAGGGAATTGTACGTTTCAATCATCTCTAATACAGGTCCTGGTGACAGAATAACAATACAAGGAATTTTACACATGAAAACTATCTTGCAAGAAAGAATGGTGGTGTATAATGAGGTATTGTAAGTTACTGTGAGGAAAACTATTGAGTGTATGGTCAAAAACAAATATTACCGTTAGCCCCCGCTAGTAGAACGGTGATATTGCTGGAAACCAGCTCGCGTTGGGCGGCCACAAGGCTCCGAATGCCAGGAGCGTCCACGTACGACAGAGCTGTGGCATCTATGATCACACAGCGGACCTAAACAGAAGTTACATAGAAATTACTTTAATTAGCTAAATACGACCTTCCTATGCATGGAATAAGAGTGATGTCTTTTTATTATAAGTAACTATAAAAGCTTGTCAACTTTTGGTACTTCTAATAATTCTTCATTTCTATAACTGTTTTGTAAAGAACACCAACGCCAGCGACTGCATTAGGTAACATATTCTTTCAATTTTGCAAATCGTGCAGATACATAAATTTGAACATTATTTAAGTAGGTTTAAGATTGCTTTTATGATTTTTCATATACAGCCACCAACCTTTTCTCCTACATTTGACTCCCACTCAAAGTCACTCTTGGTGATGTTGCTGTCATCATCAGAGTGTTCGTGGTCTTTAAAATAACCGATTTTTCGGAACAGCGTAGATCGGAACAGGTTCTTGCTGGCGAAGTTAAGACCGCCGCAGTAGTGGAAAATCTTGATACCTGCGATTTCTTCGGCCTAGAACAAGAAGCATTTCATTTAATTCAAAATTTCGTTATTTACTACAAAGAAATTTAAATCTGTATACTATTTTCTATGACTTTTGATTATACTTTGTGGAACTCAACGCTATTCATCCTTTAGTGTAAAAAAATGTGAGTTAAGTAAGTAATTGAATCAACAGATTTCTTAGTATCGATCCAAACTTAGCTCAGTCCCTTGTAATCGATTGTCTTATAGTTCTCGAAAACTTGGTTTGATTAACAATTAAATATAAAAGTTGAATTAATATAAAAGGAATGATCCATGAAAGCTTTATATACGTTGGTGTTATATATTGTACTCGTTTTAACAGTAGTATATATTAAAATAAATATATTCAGATTGAATTTGATTATATTGGATAACGTTGGTAAATTATAAACTATGTTACAATTATCTATCTGGAAACCCATTGTTTTATATTCTCGATTGCTTCAGCTGTTGTATCAGGAGTAGTTTAAAAGATAAATAAGCACTTAAGTGTATAGATTTTCATAGTTTTTTTTTTAATATTTCATGACTTTTCTTAAACTCTAGTATTTAACATAATTGATTTTTCCGTGACTATAAGACTTATTGGAACTTTTTTCATTTCATGTAGTTTTCTTAATTAGTAATCTGGCTGTTAGTCAATTAAGTATATGAATTTTTATAGTCCATAAATACTTCACATTCGACTACCTTTAAAATTATATATCTAATTAATGTTTTAATATTGATATACTTGTCACAATACTACATAATATTGATTCTACATATTTGTTTTATAGATGTTTATTTAATTATTATTATTATAAGGAAGGTAAAAATATAACAAATTTTACCTGTAAATGTACATGTGGGACCTAAAAATCTCGACAGTTTGACATTGTCATATCGAGTGTCAACTCAAAACTGTCAAACTTACAAACTTGTGAAGGCCTTAGATGGCAAAAATATAAAAATATGCAATTACGGTAATAATGTGAGCTAAGTCTGTATATAATTCAATATGCTGATATTCCCGGACAAGAGATACCCGTACTCCACAAACTATCAAGTGGCGATATTCGATATAGTCAGGTGGTGGATATGCATATTCATAAACATTATCATAATGTACTGCTGTCAGTATATCCTGTTAAGTCTACACGAAAATCACGAGATGGAATGGGTCAGCCGAGGATTTCTAATTACGTCGTAGACTTCGAAGTATTAGGTACATTTTGAATAAAACCGTTGTTTTTTGTCCTAGTAGTTATTATTTGATCTAACATAATTACAGGTTATTAGGTTTTAGAGTAAATACGCTTTTCTTTGTGGTACTTATATGATATGATTGCTGAATTTGTTATCTTTGACGTTGACCTTACTGTCTTATGAATAAATTAAACCCTGATTCACACACAAGCATACGCAGAACCACATTCACGCACGCAAAATCACGAAACAAGCATTGGAGGTCGAGATTGGACCAAAGCCTATTTTATAGAAAATTATATTTATGAAAGTGTGCGATTTGGTATCAATATTTACTTATATAATATCACGTAGCATTACTGATTCTGTCTACACCGATAAAAAGTGTATTTCCTTGATTATTTTTTTTAATAAAATGTATGACCAAAGGTTTATATGAACTGCGGAACAGAAGATTTCAGGTTCGATGATTATTTTTGTTTCTTGTTTTTTTACTAACGCTTTTAAGTCTCATTTTACTATTTTTTTTGTCGACAAAATGATATAAAGCAGTACTGGGTGGGTACAAAAACGCATCTAACAAATTTAGCGTAGAATACTTACAGCCCTGTATCTTTTGATATCCAGATAGAGATCAGTATCCAGAACTCTTCCGAGCAGACAGGTATAAGGTTTCTGGGAGCGACAGAACAGTGCACCAACACTAGCAACCAGACCCGCTCCCAAACTGGAAGATTGTAGAAATTATGTATTAAAAGCATTTCGCTAGTGAATATATAGGGAAAATGCATAGATTAAACTGTCAGAAAAATATTTCATGCGAAATCTTGTTCATTGTGTAATATTGTTAGGTAAATTTGGTAAGATCTACATATATATAAGCAAAATATGCAATAAATTATTTCTAATTACCCGATGTCGATGTTCACCAATAATGTTATGAGGAACGTCACAATCCAAACGATGGCATCTAATTTGCTGAGCTTCCAAAATCTGTAATTTTATTAATAAGTATATGAATATTAGGTAAAGTTTTTATATTTTTTCCTACCACTGACAATTTGGATGTCTTCATTGCAAATCACTAGTAGGTTAAGTCATCCTCATTATCACCCTTTGCACTTGGGAGCTGGAGGACCGCTGTATCAAATCGCAAAAGCCCTCCAGCCCCTCGGGCTCTTCATCGTTTCATCACATAGTTTTAAGTCTTTAAACATCTATTACCACTACAAACATTTGTTAACATGTCTACTTTTTATATCTCTTTTGTCTACTTTTTATTACCCTTAAGCAATATATTTAGATAAAAAAAAAGTAGGTTAAGTCAAGCATTAATCTATTGAGTGATTGAAAATATCAAACTTACTTGGCAAGTTCTTGTGTCTGCATGAACATTCCTTTGAGTGAGACTACAATGATGGATGCGAGCACACAACGCGGCAGCATCTCGAAGAATGGACCGACCCACAGCAACACGCACACTATCAGTAACGAACTGACTACTGAAGTCACACCCGTCTTACTACCGGCCTATAAAAAATATATATGTATATACAAACTATATGATACTGTTAAACAGCAAGTCTATTTAGATTAACTCTATTTGATCCAGCTTGGTCCATGAGAATCATTATATAGGAAAAACATTAAAACGTTGTTACTTAAACATCACATAATAATATTAACGTAATTTTTTTTTTAACTTTTTTCTAATAATGTTCATCTTTCTTTGGTTCTCTACGAGTTTGGACTTGCAGACTGCTTACCTGATACTGTATGTAGGATCTCGACAAACTGGCACAAAATGGAGCGCAGTTGAAGAACGAACCAAAAACATTACTGGCACCCTGAAATACAAGGTTATTGGTAAAAAATACAGCTAAAAAAGTTGTGTAGTCTTTACAATCTAGTATTAGTTTTGTTCTAAAAGACATAAAAACACTTAAAGAACTATTTCAATGCCCGAAAAGCTTGTTGAGTCATCAATCTTAGCAGACCATTTCCAACTTACCATAGCCAGTAATTCCTGGTTGGCATCCACCTCGTACTTCTCCTTGGCGGCAAAGATTAGTGCCATGGACATTGTGATGGTGTACGTCACCATAGTGATGGTGAAAGCATCAATCGCGATCTTTGGGAACAGCTCCAGTGGAGGTTGTTGGGGATTTGGAAGACTAAAAATGAAAGACGCTTATTTAGTTAGACCAAAACTGTAATAATATTATATCGTATAAAATTTGTCATTATGTCTTATAAACTTCATCATACTAAATTTAATAGACAATAAATACATCAAAATTACAAAGAATTGGGAATAAGTGCTAACTTTAATAATGAATTACAACAGCCAGTTGTCGGTAGCATACTAGGGAAAATCCACTTCCATATTTGTACAAAGTTGTAACATGAATATTTGTCTTATAAATAAACACTTTTTAGTATATGTACATGGATAGATACTCAGTAAAAATACTTATTTAAGGTCTTTTAAATATTAGTCGTATGCCTGTTTGTTCTGAGTAATCTTTGAAAAGGCTTGACCGATTTTGATGAAACTTTTACCCGCAGACAGCTGAAGTAATAAGGTAACTACTACTTAGGCTATTTGCAATTCAGAAATTTTATTTATTTTTATGACTTTATAATTATGTTGTAAAATGACACAAACACTCCCAATTATTATTTAGAGCAGGAATGTACAATTTGTCTCTCATATTCTACTTAAAACTTACCCGGTTGGAATTTTCCCAACAAGTGAAATTCCGTAAACGCCTTTTAGATTTCCGAAGGTCGACGCTAAAGTTCCGATGACGATCGCCAACAGCTCTATAGGAACTGGCACACGGCTTCTCTTACTCACTATGGGCTAAGGAGTAAAAAGTTGATATATATAAGACCATATTAATATGATGACTATTGATGAGAGAAGGATGTACTCTTTCGACTTTCCTTCAATGTGAATTATTAATTGAATCGAAATTTAGGGTAAAACAAATCTCTCCTTGTACGTGACAACTTATTTCATATAACAATAGGACGTCATATAACAGGAATATATTTCAACTATCATTCTTATATACTTGATATAATTTATGTAAAATCTCACCTTTAACACTTCGTTGTTCAGGGAAATTATTGTGCAGGTGATCACAGATATAATGAAGGCGGCCCAGTTGGTGTTGGGAATATTTTTGAATATTTCTAAAACAGTCTGTAAACAACACAGAAGAATGGTATGAAATTAATAAAACAAGAATTGATATAATATAGATGCAGTATCTTCATAGATTCAAAATATCGTAATTATGGCTTCAGACCCAAACATTGTTTAAGATATAAATATTTAGTCAGCCATTTGTATAACACCTATTGAATAAGCTGAAAATAATCTAAAAAACTTAGGGTTAATATGTAAAAATGGGTAAAACTTACAAATATAACTTTATAGTTGCTGCCAAGATGTGGCAATCGTACTCCGAAGAGGTCTTTTAATTGCGAAGCCATCACGTGGAAGGAAGCAGCCGTAGTGAACCCTGACACCAGCGGCTCTGATAGAAGAGTGGATACTGCGCCCAGGCGAAGCACCCACATGACTATCTGAAGAAAATATGACACAAGGTGAAAAAAATCACCAGATATTGGCTCAATGAAGAGTTTAAATAAAACTAACATTGTATTGTTATTGTTTTGCTGACGGGCAGACGAGATGAAAATGTCTGCCGGTGATCACGGATGCTATATAGTAACCAAAACGTCGGAATTATGTAGCTCAAAATAAAAAAAACAAGTAGTAATTAAAAAATATTAGTTTAATTTAAATTAATACTCGCGAAAATCTTAGATCTCATTACTGAATAGTTTGTTTTTGGCAGTGTAGTTTCATAGAGATAAAAGTTGAATAGAAACTTATACATATATGTCATTATTACGGTAATACACTGGATATCTTTATATGGTAAAAATTTCTTTAAAATTTTACATTTAATACAGAAGAGTTTTACTCACTTGCATCATACCCACGGACAGACTGACAATACTTGCGACTTGTATTGGAGTATAGGCTGGTAATAACGACGGTCCTAGAAATATACAAGATTATGAATGATTACCCAAATTATTATATTACTTGTGTTAATGCTTACTATAGAATGTTATATTAATGTCCCAAAAATTGGCAACATATGACAGCTTACCTTCGGATATAGTCGAGTTAGCAACATGTACAACGTCAATAGGCGTGGAATGCTGTAACACCACCTGAAAAGAAAATAATAATGAGCTCTTAGTGTCAAAAATAAATTGCTTTTTACAATAAATCTACCTAATTTCAGGTTCATGAAACACGACGAAAACTTAGATCGTTAGAAAGAGCTGTTACTTTATAAATGTAGAAGTTTTTTCAAAATCCTTAACTTGGGTTATAATTTTAAGAAACATCAACGTCATTTTCTATATATTTTTAATATCTGTTATGTAATTTAAACATCTTAATATGCTTACTAATCCGTAGTATCAAAAACGTCAGGAACGTATACAAAAAGATTGTCCAAAGAATCATAGGTTAATTAATGTACCAACCTTTCCCGTCATCAAACAGGCGACTGCGAAGGTTCCCATAGACACGTGGGGCGAGGTGCCAAATATCACATATATGAGAACTGGGAAAAAGGCCATGTAAAGACCAACTATAGGGGGAATCTCTGCTAACATCGCGTACGCCATACCTGAAGTGAACAAAAAAAATTTTTTTGGCAACACTCAGAAAGTTTACAGTATTTCTTATCTTGTTTTGTTAATTTGGTTGTATCCAAATGACAGACATAAAAAAATAATTAAAGATAAAACCAATTATACATACCTACATTTAATTTTCTATACTTATTAAAACTAAAGAGAAAATATATCAAATCAATAATAATATTTAGTCTTATGTTTCTTTAAACACGAATCAGACGAATACACCAACCAAATCGAATAAAGTACTGCGTAAAAAATGGAATTTACAAATTCCAATAACGTTTCTATAATATGTAATAGAAATTATAGATGTGTATATTATGTTTTGTACCTTGAGGTATATGCATAACGGCGACGGTGGCGCCCGCTACCAAGTCCCCTACTAGATCCCTCTTGGTGTTGTACCTTGGTAACCATCTTGCTATTGGCAACGAGTTGATTAAGCACTCGCCGAAGCCGCAGTTGCTGAGAACTTTTTTGCACCTGGATGCCCCTGAAATGAAAATGTCACAATAAACGAATTTATATGCCATATTAACCATTGTAGGATCCTTTTTTTTAGTTTCGATTTGACTGTAGCTGTTAGAACTACTGGCTTTGACAGCGTCACCAGGAGAGTTTCGAAGGAACACATATTGTTTTAAAGATCTTCCTTTTAGTCTGACAAAAAATACCATCGTTGATAGTGTTTATTTCATGTGTATCCTATGGGCCTGATTAATTCTTGTTTAATATAAATAACGTTATGCCCATTCATTAGAAATCGGCATATTTTAAGCTAGGGAACTTCTAATGGCTTTTTTCTAGTGACAAAGTGAAATTAAAAAGGCAATATTTTATTAAGCTGTTTGAGCTACGTGGCTTTTCAATTAATTAGTTTTATTGAGAAGGCCTTTGTAATTCAGAAGTACATCTTCATTGCTGAAAAGTGGGTATTATATCATGTAGAGGTTCAATATTTTTATAATATGCATTACATAAAAAGACGGTTGCCAAAAAGATATGATTCATTTGTTTTTTATTCTTCCACAATCTAATTACTTATCTGATCTTTGTGACTGCATATACTCAATCTGAAGTGTCTATCTGACATTTTATAATCGTAAACTTATCTTAAGGGTTTAGAGTTATTTAAATGAGAGCAAGATACGAACTATCTCTAAATATTTTATCGCTTTGTCTATCAGCGTGTCTGGAATTGTACTTAAATGTATGTATTTCAATAGCGCTTTCTCTAGATTTTAGGGAAATTTGTCAAGCTACAGACGGGATAGACAACAATATACTACTAGCTCTTTAGGTCGCTTATAAAAAGCAAAACGCGGGCAAGATCGTCATTTCTAGTCTGTTTGGAATCATTAGGTGCACCTAAATTTTTCATGAACTTTTATCTAATTGATCATATTCAAAGGGCGCTTTAATCAACTAGTATCTCAACAATTAGCCAAATTATAGGATGATGATGATGATCTTTAAGAAAATACTAGAGATACATCATTTTTGCTTGCTGGTACAATATGAGTATAGTTAATATTTGGCACTTACAAGGCTTATCCGGCACTTGGTAATTAGCATCCTTGTTTAGGGCATCCTGCTGGTAAACCCTTCGGATAACGTTGAACTGTTGGCTGGAGCGAGTAGGTAGCCTGGAACAAGAGAATATGAGATCTTACCAGCACTTCGAGCATTTAATCTTAACTTTTAGAATTGAACTTATTTAAAAACATGACACTAGCTTAAAAACGTTCATATTATGATGACGTCATTTCTCAGGTGCGTGTTTGATACGTCACATTCTAATGAAAAATTTAGACTGGATGGGTAATTTCGAACCGACGTACTAAAGATGTGTCTCGACAATTATTGTTTTGCATGTTTTTACTAGTCGAGCCTGTAATACAGTGCAGCGCTAGGCCACGCGTGGACGTCGGTGTAATACGGTTCGCGAGGCCTCCTTTTCCCGAATCAAGAAAGTGATTACATAAATATTACATAGGCCACATAATTCGGCTTATGTAATTTACCATTTTATGTTATTTTACTTTATTCACCGCTATACTTATGTAAAAGTAAATGGGTTTTATTGATAATAATCAATATTTAGTTTTATTGATATACATGTTAGAACATTTGCGTAAGATGTTACACTGTTTACTCATAAATTTACGATTGATTACTTTGTATGTCTTAAATTTTGATATATTTTTTCCTGTATTAGTATTAATGTAAGGTTATACATATTAAATAGCACTATTCCACGAAAAGTTAGTCTAAAATAAAAAAATAAGGGTTTGTTGACTCGGTTTAATCGCAACAATATCGCATATCTGGCTCTTGATATCGTCGTTTTTTAACTTGAATTATTTCTGTAAGTAAATAATTTCTACTCGTATTATGAATATAAATACTAGAGTAGCTTTCTTGGTTTGTTAGGCTTTAAGATGCACCCAGAATGGTTTAATACATATCGTAAATAAATACTAATATAAAGAAGAATAGTGGGAAGACGAGAGCAAGTTAAGGAGACATAACATCTAGAAATTACATTTTATTTTGCACAAGGAAAGCCGGAAGGAATATAAAAATATATATCACAATCCATTTTTCTCAGGGAAGCTTTAAGACTGTGACGCACAATCTAGATACCTCAATAGATATCAAATGTTGATATGTCGAGATTACATATTTAAATTATATGACATTAGCTTTCTATCTCAATAAATTTTATCAGTGATTATCTCGTATCTCCTGCGTCAAATTCACATCTTACTAAACTAAAAGATATGTAAAATAAATCTTAAATTTGGCTAAGTTCGTATAAGTTACAAGTAGAATTATTTCAATTATTACACCTTTTATGATGCTTTGACCAAAATTATAAATCACTTCGTTTGGTCCGTAATTTTTTTTTTATTTAAGAAGGAAAAGCTAGCATAATTATTTCAACTGTCTGAATAAATTAGAGTTTGTATTGTTTAAATAGATTCAACTTCACAATGACTTACAAAATAATATTTATTAGTTGCCCACACGGCAGGAGCAAAATTTCTATTTTAAAAGTCATTTTATATCTACACTAACTCAGAAGATGGATTTACTCATCCAGATTTTGACTCGTGAACAACTACTGGATGTTTGCATACTTTTATTCTTCTTTGCATTTTAATTCATTGGTTTTCTGAGTGCTATTATATTACGCTGGAAGGTAATTGTATAATTAATAGCACTCAGATCATAGAATAAGGGACTATGGCCGTTACGATGCCTAATTGTAAAATTATCACTTTTAATATGTGTTTTGATTTATAAGTTTTTATAGAATTCAAATAGTCGCTTAAACTTTTTTTTATTAATAAAATGAGAGAATATAGTTGTAATAATAGAAAAAACGTTTTAATTTAATGATATGATATATGGCTATAAAAACAAGCAATTAAATTTTTTGTCTTCTGTTTGTTCCAATAATACATATATGACAAGTCTGTTAACGAGACATTAATTGGCAGATGTGATAAGAAGTCACCTAGACTACTTTTTAAAAAAATTCAAATATAATATATATTGTAAAACATAAGAAATACTTTCGGATGACTTCGCGGTAACAGTTAATATTGCAGTAAAATTATTATTAGGAAAACAATGAAAAGTAACCTTGCTTTGAAGGGAATTTTTTATTCATTTATACTATTCAATGAAACGGCCGAGAAATGTGATTTACGAATATTACCCTGTTATTTTACATAATTTTTTTTATACATCTATCAAAAGATAGTATGGCCTAATTCAGTCATAATCAAAAATGCAAAAACTTTGAAATTACGAAAGAACACTTCAATACAGATTCTTCCTTTGTAACAAAAAGGTATGATAACGTAGAACCAAAAATAATGTCGTTAGTCGATAAATCAACAGTTAATTACTCTAATATTGAGGTTTAACAACCATCAGGCTCAAAATACTCGCCCCGTATCTGCGTATTCACTCTCATCATCAGAATTTAATAGGGGCTTGTTCTCATCAGCATCGATGGGACTACGAAGAAAATCTCCCTCAAATAAAAGTAAGGTCTTTTTCATCCGCATTTTATACACACAAATTTTTAGAACAACACTGCACTAAAATAATACAAGACAATCAATATAAACTATTGTTTAATCGATTTTTAATTGATGTATATTCACGTCGATTCGAAAGATTTGTGATTTTATTACTGAAGTATCTACAAGATGTTATGCCTGGGTGGTCAACTGTTGGGACATTGTTAAAAAAAAGATGCTGAAATACTGATTGTCGAAATAGATTTAACCAGTAGAGATAAAATGTGTTCTTATTAAAACAAAACATTTTTTTAATATAACTTACGTTTATGGATATACCTCGATTTTTCTTGCAATTATAGCACGTGATTTAATGATATGAAATCAGTTTTTTAAAGCTTCTAGATGAATTTTAAAGCTTCTACATCGAAGATATAAATCTTCGTGGTATACTTAAGTTGTATTGTTTGTTTCACCAATACAAAAAAAAAGTCTTAAATATATGAAAACATTTTTTACATTAAACGTCCAAAAACATTCGTAAAACGTTGCGCCAATAGTTGAGAACCTCTGGTTTGTTATCATTACAAATAACGGTTATAATAATGTTATCGACAAGTCAATTAAAAGTTTACTGTAACAATAACCTCGCTATACTGATTTATATGTATGTAAAATTTGTTCCTTTTCGAATGTTCTTCAACCTGTTACTAAGATTGTGCGATATTATTATTGAACAGGTATGAATATTTCCTTTTATTAATTTTTATAATATTAATATAATACATAGTCTTTTAATCATACGTCGAGCCTCGAGAGCCTAATAGCAAATTTGTATACCCTGTATAGAATAGTAATCTATAAAAAAACTTATGTTCTTATTATAAAATATTATTACTAAGTAGCCAAATATACAAGGAAACCATATCCCAAAAATATAAGGAAACAAAAGCAAATAAACTGGTCCAACCCTTTGCTATGAACCTAACAAAAGACTAAGCGAATTCGCTTTGTTTGGATGTGAGGAGATCATAATAAAAAGAAGAATTTTGAAATGCGTCTGGTTGATCGATGGTATCAAGAGCTTACGAAGTATGGGAAATTAAAAGAAAACGGATATAGTAACAATAGATTTATGCAATGAATAGTATTTTTTAGGCACTTTAGACTGTAAAGTCACAGTTTAAGTCGTAACACGGTTTTATTGGAGAAATACTCCAAACATTCATAAATATTCCTTAGTGTCCTATTATCACCTTATTGATTTTAATATATTGATATCGTTACATAATTTCTTGCCAAAGTATGTAAAGATAAGGATGCAACAAAAACAATAGTGTAAATATCTGCATGATAAGATAAAACTTAAAAGTACCTTCAATAGAATCGTCAGCAGCTTTGAAGATTATATTCTTAAGAACATAATGTTTGAATAAATATGAAACGTTTCCTAATTTTATATATTAAGGTTAACGTCATTTTATGGTAGGAATTAGAATGAAACAGTAGCAGTTTATACAGGAATAAAGAAATATATCAATTATCATTTGAAGCGATGTTGTTTGTACGTTTAATATGGGAAGTTTTTTCATTGGATATAGGAAAACAAAAATATGTTTCTTAAAACTGTAGTAAAAAAAATTGTATTCATTAATCAAAAGTACGAAAAAAACAGAAAATCCCAAACAAAAAAAAATTAAAATGGACGACTCTTTAGAATTACGAATTTATAGATTTTTTTTATATCTCAACTCGTTCTTCGTTCAAGATTTAAAGAAGTGAGGAAATACAATGTATATACTGTGAATATTAAATAAATGTATTCGCCCAAAACTGTCGAAAGTAGAACCTAAATTTTGCTGTTAAAAAGTACTAAAATATATAAAAAACGGGATTTTACATGCTTTTAAGCGTCCCATCCCAACAAATCAATGCAAAAGATTTTTTTTCCATTTAGTTTATTTTTCGAATTGAAATAAAATACGGAATTCCTGGGGTCCAGCATCTGTTGTCAAATAATCAAACGGTTGATCAATTTCCCAGCCATAAAGATCCGTCTAACATTTTTCATTTCAATCATACTCACCAATCATTTTTTGGATTTAATTTTTCCTTTTCCGAATCCTGAACGTTCCTCATTATTAACACTTTGCACTTAGCACTCAAACGTCAGTAATTATCTACACTTTATTCACTTTGGCTTTATTGTGATAGTGTGTATAATTTTCTTATTACAAAATATCTGTACATAATACAAAAAAAAAAATTACTTAGAATTCAATAATAATGAAAACTACTTTTGCTATTTAACTGTTATAAATTGCAGTACCAGAAATCACGTTCACACTACGATTAAATGTACGAATGAATGCGGATTTTCTTTTATAATCCTTGAGATGAAGATACCGTTTTTTATGTAAACATGGCTGATGTTATCAAGTCTAATACGAGATGAATATACTATCTTTACGAACAGAATTTCCGTGTCTCATTGGCCATGTAATGAATTGAATTTACGAAAAGCTAACCGAAATCTTAACCTAAATATAAAACATTGCAATTTCTTAGTTGAGAGAAAACTCAATAAGCCTTGGTTTTCCAAGCGGGGAAGAATAATGAAGAGCAATGAACAATAATTTTATATTAATAATAAAAAATCTCATATTGAACAGAAATAGCGGAACAGTCGGAATATTACATTTTATTTATTTATAAAACGTCATTACACGGAAAATCATTATCCATCGCCTCAGATATATTGATACAAACAATAAACTTAAACCACATAAGTACAACAAACACACTCATCTCACTTAATGGAATTGTTTTGTAATCCGTATGTATTTTGTAAGTACATATGTAGCTAGCATTTATATATCGCTACATTCTGAAGTGTTCGTTCTAGCACTCGCTGATAGGTTATTTTAGTTATATAACGACCACTACAATGTATTAGCATGTACTGAATACATAAATCGCTTCATTAAATAGACAACGGCATGAGATACAAGAGAATATTTATTTTACACATACGTCATATATGTAGGTAAATGCTTGTATGTGTATACTTGTAAACGAATATCTCAATAAAATAGGAAACGAAATTAGTCTCGGTAACGTGATTTATGTACATGTAAAGAGTTTTTGCTGCCGCTTTACTTAGGTGTCATACAATGGTTATAAAAAAACTTTAAGGCTGGTACGGCTATTGTGGTATGAATCTTTTGTTACTTTGAATTGTATTTTTATGAATGGATAGGGTCATAAAAAATTATTGCAAAAGACAGTTAGTAGTAAACTTTTGTAGCGGCAAAACTTCGAAATCCAACATTCAACTATACAATTCTATACAATTTACTTTTTTTAACGTCCCTTAACCTTAACGTTACTAATAAATAATTTGAAAATAATAATTTTGTAACTAACGCTTTTGAACTACTTCTTATTTGTATATTCAAAAATAGATTTCGGTTTTCGTATAGTAAATAATTTCGTAGATTAAGTGGTTATTTTTTAGTTTCTTTATACTTAGAAATTTTAAATTCTACGAGTGTTAGGCGAGAAGCAAAGGGGACGAACGGAAATTTGTTAATCTTTTATACAAAAACTATACTACGGATTCAACGAAACATAACTAGAATGAGACAGACACCATCACGGGATAACAATTATATGTATTAATACACATACAAATTATAGACGTAGCTGTAGTGTTGTTATTGTATCTTTTGTTTTAACTACATTTATCTTTGAGTATATTTCCAAAGACCAAGCGGTGGAAGTCGAAGAAAAAAACTAGTACACAGAAGTATATTTCTGTGTTAATCACAGAATGGTGGCCTTATGGATTAAAAGGTAAACTTGACACTATAATCTCGTGATGCTCGCGTGATTTATATCTTCGGGTCACATACAAGTGATATTTTATTATATAAACTGGGGTCATAGCCCGAACTGTAATGTTATTAAGATAAAATTATCGAAATCGTTCGAAATACACACATTAATATATTTGTTCCGTATTCCTTTTATTTTTATCTTACTAAGAAAATAATAAATATTACAAAAATTGTTAACGTGATCATCTTATTTTATACATTATTTGTAAGTTTAAAAGTAGGAAGAAAGTTTAAAGAGAAAATTTCGCAGATGTTTTCTTAAAAAAATAACGCAAATTTTTACAGTAAATAAATAATATTACTAGCTGACGAATATTAAGATTACGATACATATTTTATACATAGTAATCACAATGTATGAATTAGTAAAACAAAATATGAATTAAACAAGTGAATTCATTATCACACTCAACTAAACGTAATTTTAAAATTAAGTGAGGAATAAAAAAACTCACATTTCAACCGCCGTGACAAAACTAGATTCCCTTCTCAATGTAGCTCGTTTTTATTAAAAAAAATATAATCTCGAACCAATATTTGTATATATGACTTAATTGTTGCTGGCTCTGGTTATCTAACCTTAGGTTTATCTATGTTTATATTAAATAATATTGTTTGTTGAGATATATGTGGTTATTTCAAGGCTTGTTTTTGCGAAATTTCGTAATAGCTAGGCTAGCTACTGACGAAAGTTAGGAAAAAGGAAGTGCACCATGGCAGAAAGCATAGGAAGGCTGAATACGAATGATAACTGTATAAAATATAGAAAGTAAATCCAAGAAAAAAAAAACCAATTGGTTTAAGTAGCGTTTTAAAATAATTATTGTAAAAGATGTCAATAGAAAATTTGCATTCGCAAGCGGCTGAAGCTTTTAAATTTGTAGTATCGACACTCTTCAAGTTGTACAATGCACTATAAACCTTAAAGTATACATATTTATTATATCTAATGATATATTATCCTAAACAACGTCATAAAAGTCTGCCTAAGCTAAATTTGTCTGAACAATAATATTTGAAGACCATCAGAATCAGATACCAATTGAATATTCAGAAGTATAAGAGAGGAATATGCCCAGCTTTAAATTCGCCTGCAGTCGAATATTTCTATTTAATACTAGCTGACCCGGCAGACTTCGTACTGCC